ACCCTTCATGGACAAAATTCTACATTTGCAGAGGCTATTTTCAAACATTTCATATTTTTTTTCCCCCTGAAGTTATTTATCAGCCCCCTCCCTCTTTTTTATCTTGTAATAAATAAAATCATATATATATATATTCTTTCTAGATCCTTAGCCACCACATAAGCGACACGGGCTTCAGAAGCCCCAGCCTGCTGAGCTTTAGGGTGGGCAGAAGAAGAAAGTCCCTGATTATTTTTTTCCTGTGAAAAACATTATCCCAAACAATTTCTCTTTAAGGCACGAGGAAAGACTCTCAAACGCTCCATAATATGCTAAACAGAATGAACAGGTTTCATGTGGCTTTTAGGGCACAGCTTCTCGTTAATTAGGCAGCTCTGGTTTATAGCTGCGGCAGGACCGTGTTTGAAGGTTACCAGGTGTCCTCGTACTCAAATCATCCAGCAGTGAAATCCTGATGCTGATAATTTGATATCCATCTCGCTGTTTGCCGCAGGCTGCCGACAGCTACTTGGAATATTATGGCAAATCCAAAGCCAGCAATTGTCTTCAGAGGAAGAAAAGGTAATTACTATAAAAATAGGACAACTAACATCTGTTAGTGCTCCAACAGCCCTTCCCTTCTCAAGTTAAATTCCAGGGAGAATATTTTCCTCTACAGATGAGATTTAGTCAGTCTTCATTCCTTAAAAAGAGCTGCCTTAAAAAAAAAATGATGGCCTGGGTGAACACTAGAATAACCAACGACAATGTGACATATCCAAAATGACAGCAAGGAGAACACATTTAAAATCTAGCTCATTCCCTTGGTGCTTAAATCAGAGTGAGAATTTACAGGTAAACTGTAAGACCGAGTGAGTGTTCTGTGCACCAGCCTCTTACTGGGCTCCTCCTGCTCACCCCAGAGATGAACCAGAGATTATCTGGCCCCTTCCAGTGGTCCTGTGGAACTTCTGGATAAAAAAAAATAAAATCCACATTACTGAAAACTAGGACTAGTTGAATTTTAATGTTTTAGAAACCAGACTTGTCAAATCAATTAAATAAATAGCAATAAAAGAAATGACAGGTGTATTCAGGTCAAAAGCTGAAACTTTTGAACCTTGAACCCTCCCCAATTTGCCATTTTGAACAGAAGCAGGTAAGTCAATTCCACACAATGACTCTGGTGCCATTAGCAGAACATCTGCTGTAAAGAGTCACTTATTTAATATACACTGAGACTTTGGTCCCTGCTTTTAAGAAATGAGTGTCTAGCCCAAAAACTAGAGGGAGAATTCACTCCTGCCCACACGGAGGTGAAATAGCACACGGTCACTAAAGGGCAGATCAAGCACCATAAGCCATTAACCTCAGATGGAGCAGAATTCCCTCCCCTCCAATGTCAAAATAATTTCAAGTGACTAAAGACAACTCAAATCCTTAGATGAGCCCGATGGTGGGTGTCCATATTAAGGACATCATCTCACATCAGTAGCTCGTGCTGAGCCTCAGCACAAGACTCATTTTCATCACAGCTGCGCCTCGCAGGAGTCTAAAGGGCACAGAGGGGTAAGTGACCTGAAAACAAGATCCTGTCCCTTCGGGGTCCGATACATATTCACATGGTATTTCAAGAACTCTGTCCAGAACAGACTGGTTTAGTGCTGCTCCTGCTGCCTTGGCCACAGAAAGAAGGTGGCCCATGGCTATATCGCTCAACAAGAATGTCAAGTTCAAATCAAATCTGCAGGAAGACTTTGGGCTGACAGACAGTCCTGTCACCAGGGTTGTACTTGCCAGCACCAGCTCCGACACCGTCCCGTTCCCACTGAGCATCCCGAGCCCAGCAGCCTGCTGTCCCAGGCTGGATTTCCCATCTCATTGCCACACTGCTCCATGAATCAGAGGCATCCCTTCCTGAGGCTCCACAATTCCACTTCTCCAAATTATAGAATCATAGAATCATCTGGGTTGGAAGAGACCCTTGGCATCATCGAGTCCAACCATCTACCCTACTCTACAAAGTCCTCCCCTACACCATGTCCCTTAGCACTGCATCTAAACGTCCCTTAAACACAGCCAGGGATGGTGACTCCACCACCTCCCTGGGCAGCCTATTCCAATGCCCGACCACTCTTTCGGTGAAAAATGCTTTCCTAATGTTCAATCTAAACCTACCCTGGTGGAGCTTGAAGCCATTCCCTCTCATTCTGTCACTAATTACCTGTTACTAATTATCCATTTTAAACAGTCAGCATCAAGCCAGAAATTCCTGAGCTACCTCAATATTTACTTTATTTTCAACAGGAACAGCAAATATAAGCAACCGTCAGGACCGGGCATAACAGGAACATACTCCAATACTCAAAGCAGCCAACACACAAAGAAACTTACTGCTGCTTTTCTCCACCAAATCAAGCGTGGATGGGAAGAAGCAACATCAACATAAAACCAAAGCCTTCCCCGAACGCCAAAAAGTGCTATGTTAAAAATATACTTCTCTCCCAACATCACTCTGACATCACCAATCTAAAATTAATACATAATTCTGATACAAAACCATGAAAGTAGTAAAAACCATGTCACGTACAATACACTGCCTGTTCAATACAGGATTTATTTAGCAAATTTTACAAATGGAAACGCACCGGAATCAACCTAAAAAAAATATGAGAACCCAAGGCAGTGGTGCTGCAACCCACAGCTTCGTACTCACAGAGCAGACTCCTCTCTCTCCTGGACACTCAATGCTTTCTACAGTGTGGCTGTAAAATAGAACTGCCTCCAATTAACAGGGAAACTCTAGCCCTGCTCTGCTGCAAAACAGCAAATGAAGGGAAGAAATGACAGCCTGCAGAGCCTCAGAGTGTAGCTGTGAGGTACTGGTGGGAAGCACATGCACAATAAGGGCAGATTTTAAAACCTGAGATTATTTCATTGCAAACATGGTAATACTGTTTTGGGAAAAACAGAAGTATTGTCAAAAAAGCTACTAACATTTTTGATTTTTCTGTTACTAGAGCTGTGTGCTCAGTAAAGCTTTTTAGTATTGTATATTAACGATCCATCTTCTAACTCCTCTGTTGGTGGTGTTTTTTATGGTGTAACAGATAATGAAGTCCCAAGAAGAGGGTAGGAAGGCTCAGGGTTAGTTGGCACAGCTGATGAGAGACAATATTCTCCTAGAGGAGACATAGAAAAATGCTAAATTAGGCATTTCTGACAGCCTTTGTAGTCTGTGCTTCTCATACCACTACCTACAGAAACACTTCCTTGAGACAAAGAGGGTCCCATTGCATTGACTTCACAGTTTTTGTTACAGACCCTTTGCTGGCTCTGAAATACTTACAATCATAGAATGGTTGGAAGGGACCTTAAAGATCATCGAGTTCCAACCCCCCTGCCCTGGGCAGGGACACCTCCCACCAGACCAGGTTGCTCAAAGCCCCATCCAGCCTGGCCTTGAACCCCTCCAGGGATGGGGCAGCCACAGCTTCTCTGGGCAGCCTGTTCCAGTGTCTCACCACCCTCACAGGAAGGAATTTCTTTCTGGTATCTAATCTAAATCTCCCCTCTTTCCGTTTAAAACTGTTACCCTTGGTCCTATCGCTCCACTCCCTGATGAAGAGCCCCTCCCCATCTCTCCTGTAGGCCTTGGAGTCTGCAAAAGCAACAGAGACCAAATTTTTAAGAAAGAGCAATTACTCTGAAGTTCCAAAAGCAAACTTTGTTTCGTAATCCTGAAGAGTGTTTCTGAAGCCATCATTACCCAGGACTGACACAGTCAGTGCAACTCCCAGTTTACTCACAACAGAGCAGCCCAGATTGTAAGGGAAAACATTTCAACACTTCAGGAGTTTCACAGAGTTTCATTACATTTGTGCTAGAATTAAGTTGCATCCTTGCTTACTACCACCAAACTGAGTCTGAATCAGATTCCATAGCAGCCACTGCCGGGCAAATACCAGCTTTAACAAGTGACCCTAAGAACCACGCTGGCTTACAAAAAGTGACTTCTGAATGAGTACTTGGAATATAGAAAATTTTGCACCACAAAAAAACAAGACCAAGTCGAACTGTCAACAAACTCAGTCTAAATTGAGAGGCCAAGTGAATTACCAGTGCACTTGAGATTGTAAAACAACTCTGCTTGAGGGGAAATTCTGCTCGGCTGATGAACATCTGAAAGGCTTCAAAGAGTAATTAAATAATCCTATGGAAAACACAGTTGTTCCTTAATGCTCTCATAATGAATAATACTAATTACAAATATACTCCATACTCTGTGTGTGCTTTTGGAATTAATTTGGCAACTGTGACTTCAGTTGAAATATCAAGGCTTGCATCAGAGCTGCCAAGATTTTGGGTTCAGAGGGATTTATGAATTGAAGAACTTAATTTATTCACTACTTAAGAGGGAAATAAATAAGAGTATCTGAGGTTAAGACAGAAGCTTTTCCAGAAAACCTCAAGAAATAAAGAACTGTATCTGTAGACAAGAAATTTGGTGTGCTGGGTGGGGTTTTTTTGGTGGTTGTTCCCCATCAGCCACCTCTAGAGTTCTGAGAGAACCACCCAGGGTCAGAGGAGAAGCTGTGACCTCTCATGAAAAGAGTCACTGCTAGATATTCAAGGAATCCCTATTAATGAAGGCCAAAAACACGAGCACAATTAGAGAGCTTGGAGCCAGAGAAAACAATGACACTTCATGCCCAGCTGGGCCCCCACCAGACTTTGAGAGAGTTTCAGGAGAAATGTTGGGTTTGCGATGCTCTCTCTAAGCAACTCCAACCCCCACAAATTAATAGCAGGGTGGCATCAACACCTTCTTTCTACAAGTGACGAAAACCAACTGCTACAGAAATAAATCAGAAGTAAAGCCATGGATAACCCAGTCCTTATGCACATTTGTGTCCCACACTGATAAGAATCCTACTTAATGGAACTCAGAATTTAGTACAGTAAATACACTGCAAGGTCACCAGCTCTGAATGCTAAGAAAGAAATATCGACGCTGTTACTTTTCCTTTTTTAAACAAATATTACAAAATTGAATTTTATTGAGTTTCACACAAGATGCACTTATAAAATTGATACAGAATGTCATCCAACAGAAAAAAAAAAATAATGAAAGCAATTCCAAGCTTTCTTTAGCAACTGCTAAATAATTCAAAAATAAGATACACCAAATTGACAGATAATCTGAATTTCAATGTGTGAACATCTCCAATTAGTAGAAAATACATCAAAAATTAAGGAATTTCAGATTTTTTCCCCAGCACAAGTCCTCTTCTTTTTAGTATCATCCCTGAACAGTCACCACAGGTTTTGGCCGTTGCTCCGGCTGCTCCTGACGGGAGAGGAGAGGCTGTAGGACTGCAGCAAGAAGTCCCCACCAGAGCAGACCACACTAACCTGCACGGCAAAGTGACCTCATCACCAAAGGCTGCTCAAAGACACGAGAGCTCTGTCCAACTGTCTCCGTTGGCTGTATTACTGTAGTCCTGCAAGGTCCAGGAATTAGCGTATACATTAAACTTTCAGCAAAAGAACTTTGGCTTTCCCACCCTGACAAATCATGAAATCAGCAAAGAGCAAATTTTGCCTTCATTTGTTCAGCACTGAAGTACTTTTATGACACCTTCCCTTGGAAATTGGAACCGGTGCTTTCTTAAATATCTGAAAGGCATTTGAAGTTCATGCTGTGCTTTAGCAACAATACATGAAGAATTTATCATTAAAGGGTCTCTTCTGATCTAAGTCTTCAGCTTTGAGCTCAAATTTATTCCATTCTTGGTCTGAGGATTCCAAACCATCCTTCATCAATTCTCCCACAACGGCATCTCACACCAGAAATTAAGACGCACTATAATGCTTAAATGCTCTTTATAGATCTAGTCTTTCTACTTAAGTTTGGCTAAAACCAATCAATTAAAATGGATAATTCTGATTTGATCATCAGTAATGAGCTTTTATAGGCATGTTAATACACAGATGTCATTCTTATCACAGTAAAACCTAAAATGCAGCATAATATTCTTTTCTGTTGCGTTAATGCCATACATACAGTTCCAACACAATGATTGCTGCAGTTATCACTGCCTTTTCCTCAACATATAGATGTGCCTCTTTATGATTTTTCCCTACAGCAACAAAATATCCTCAGCTTTTAAAAATAATTTTATAAATAATTTGCCTTGCAGGACACACAACACACAAAATGCATACGCTTCATATTTGCCCAGTTAAGCAGAACCTTCATTATCGTGCTCTTTCCTTGGCGTTTAGTATTTAGATAAAATAGTATGCAGTAAGTCTTTCATTTAAAGGCAAAATTTTATTCCGATTACAAGATTTTCGAGATACATTTTGAAAAGATTTTTGTTGACAAGAATAACTATCTTGACTTACTGTTGTATGTACCAATGCTTTATGCGTTTGTTGAGATAAGCACAAGTTTTGAATTCTGCTTGCGGATGTTTAATAAAACAAGGTAACTGGAAAGACAAGCTTCCGCTCAAGTTGTCATACATTTCCAGGAATATCCTTACACCGGAGGAGCCTTCACGAGGAGGAGTATGTTCTGGAAGCATGGTTTTGTAACGCGGAACAGGATTATGCTTTTTTTCCAGTCTATTTTCCAGAAAAGTGATACTGCAGCTCTGCCACCAGGCTAGAGACTCACGATCCACCACATTTTCCAAGAGGCAAGTTAAAGATCACTCACTTGACCTGACCAGATACCAAGCCAAGTTACGTGTAGAAAGAAATTAATATCTTTTTTTTTGCCATTAATAATTTAAGTTTTTAAATAAATATTTATGTGCCTTTTTTGGCAACTGTCCATTCCGGTAGCATCTGCTGTCCCAACAGCTCAGTATCCTTAGCACATTGATTTAAAAAAAAAAAAAAAAAAACTTAGTCAATTCTGTTTCCACAAATAGTAAACCTGTCTATCTCCAACAAGTCTTTCTTTGAAGACCTGTGTTTTAATTCTGAACTGTCTTGGCTTATATCTTTTTCTTCTCCATCAGGAGTTGTCAGAAATTGATCAGAATTGCTCGTTACAAGTAAAGAAGGCGTGTTCTCCTTCTGATGCACAGGCTGATTGGTAACTGATGTAGATCCATTTTCATCTGTGGAAATTCCTGTTGGAACACAAGACAATTACAAAGTTAACCAGTTAATTTAACACAGACATACTGATGCATCTATAACATCCAGATTCATCCAAAGCTACCCAGAAGAAGTGTGCTGCATCAAACCAGCAGGAGCAACAGAAGAATGCTTTGTGGAAGCCACGATACCTTTTCCTAATTTTACCATAAGAAATCTCCTTTTCTAATTTGGTAAAAAGATAGAAGATGAATTCTACAGAAGTTCAGATAACGAGCAAGAGTATAAGCAACAGATGTTAGGACACACACTACATTCTTCTGGTTTACATACTCATTTTTGTTGGCTTAGACAAAAAGGTTTTAGGCAGTTGTCATGCGAATCACACAAATATTTTCTACTGAACTAAAAAAAAAAAAAAGAATCTCTGCAGTGGGAACTAGATGTGCCTAAACCTCTAGATATGTACAATAAACCTGGCTTCTCTAGGGATAGCTAATAAATGACTCATGCACCGCTACACACTTCAATAGCACTGGCTCCTAAAGCAGTTCTGTTAAATGTGGGGAAATACTGCAGACCAGCCCAGGGGAACATTATTTGTCAGAATCTCAGCACTATCCAAATTCCTACAAACACTTCTTTCTCTATAGCGTGCCTCCACAGTAAAACATCTACTACTTGAAGATACGGGGATGATTCTCTACAGCCTTATGCAGGTCAAAGTACTAAACTTGCATGGAGAAAGGAGATAAGTAATGCTAATTGTAGAACTTCTTTACACAGGTAAGCGTTTTCTAACCCTGCAGCTTCCAGAGGAAGCTAGTCAGCCTACAAATGGTTACCAGTAATTAGAAGTTCCATCCTCCAAGAGCAAGTATAAAATTTTATCCTTCAAAATTTTAAACTGTTTCTGTAGACAAGATGGAAACTCCTAAGAAAATAAACTGACTGGCATTATAAACTGATAGAAAGTAGACCAGATTAATTCCTTCACCCTCATCCTAGGAAGAGGTGGGTTGAAAGACTGTATTTAAAAAAACCTGATAAATGGGGCACGAGGATTAATCAATATTGCAGAGCCCAGCAGAAATAATGCAGACACACAGAAGCTGGGGAAGGTAAAAACATTCTTTCACATAATTGAGGTTTCTAGTAAATAAAAGCCGTTAAAAGGTGTAAGAAACTCTGCAAAAATGTTAAAAATTGAGCTTTGGAAGCTCAGTGGAAGTTAAGAATATTCTAAATAAAATGAGCAAAAGCTTTTTGATTGCTACTTTATAATCAAAATCTTTCCATTTGAGGAAATAAGCATCTCCGCTGACTGACCTTGTAAAATTGCTGCTGCTTCAGCTAAAAATAGTGTTCAGAATTTATTTGCTTTAAGTTTAAGGATCACTCTAAGAAAGTACAGCTTATTATGTCTCCTATCCAAGTGTAGTACTAGAATCTTTTATTAAAACTTTATCATTGTGATAGTTGTCTAGTGAAACGCAAAAGGCATTCAGACCAATCCGCATTACGTTCTTTCACGACAAAACTAAAGCAGCTCTATGAATTTAAGCTATTGGAAAAGAAATGTCTGCACCAAGTTTCTGCAGGGTTTGCTTTGACACAGGTGAGACAGATTTATGAGTGAAACACTGACAGATTCTTAACTCTACTCTTGCTGGCGAGACACTATGACGACTAATAAGCACCTTACATTTCAAGCCGTCCAAGTCTCTGGCAAGCGACAGAGTGAACACAATAAAAGCCTCACTGTTCAGTTCTCCAGAGCTTTCATTGAGCTCTTCACAGAGGAAGACACACAATCCAATTCAGTTGACAGGAACAATGAAGGTTTGTTTCCCTCTCTAACATGTCACAGCAATATAATAATGCCCCATTCCAATTATGTATTAATGCTAACGTTGAGGACCCGTACAGACGGCCACGCTGCACAGACTGGAAACGAAGCGAGTGGAGACCAGCTGAAGGTCCTATTTGGATTTCATAAAGCTTTTCATTCGTGTGTCCATGACAATTATAAGTAATTATATCTATTGTGTGCCATGGTTTACATTGATTTCCATAAGAAATGCATAGATTACTACCTTATTAAACTTCAGCACTGCCAGAGATGATGTGTAAATATTTAGTTGTTTGGGTGGTGACATGGCAGAGGGGGTTGGACCAGACAATCTTTGAAAGGTCCCTTTCAACCTAAACCATTCCATGATTATGATTTTCGAACAAAATAATGTGCTATTGTTCTGATGTCTCTATCACCTCCACGCATCAGGGTAGGATCTTATCAGAGATGAATATTTATAACCAAAAGATGCATGAACTAGAAGCAATAAATTTTATTGCATTTACAGACTTGTGCTCACAGCTGTGATATGGTACAATTAGTGTCCAGCAACGGGGCTGCTGTGCAGCTAACAATGTCATGCATCTGGTATAATACTAAATTTAGTCTGAAAGCAATTTTCATTACAGTTGAAAACAAAACAAGGCAGTTAGGCTTACCTTGGGTAGATTTAAACATGCTTTGCTGTTTGCCAGCTGGCTTCCCTGGGGTGGCAGTCACAACAGGATTGAATAATTTCTCCTCCATTTTTGCCTCCTTTACATATTGACATGATTTCCCCAGCAATACAATACTGTTAAGGACTTTCAGAGATATTAACCTGAAAAAAGTAAAAGTATGTTTACATATTTGCATTAGCATATTAAAATAATTGCATATTATTAATACTGTAATTATTCATATTAAAATAATTGTATTTGGTTACTCCTGTATTGGGAGGATTAGCTAACAAATTAAAGCCCTTCAATAGCAAGATCAAAAGGTAATTTCCTTTTCTGAACAATTTGTTGCAGATTCAATGATTAAATTTTCTATTTTTTAAAATTTTATTTCAGAAGTTATCTACAGAAAAACATCAGTTTTTTCAGTTTTACCATAGTTTAACAAAAGGACAAGGGCAGTTAAGCAGCTGTTTAATACATCAAATATTTAAACACAGAACTAAAAAAGGCACACAACAGTGCAAGTCAAAGTTAAATCCACTGCTGTCAAAATTGTAGCCTTCACTGTGCCCAGCCAAGGATCACTAATGGACCTTGGGCCACAAGAAAGCAAATATACCTAGCTTTCACTAATTACAGACTCATCCTAAAAAGAAAACACACCACAAAAGACAGTCCATGAAACTCAACAAATCCAATGAAGCAGCACTGTGTTACCATCACAGCACAGTCCAGTTGATGGCAGATTCCTTTGCTATTACCATTAATTTGCAGCACAAACTTCAGCAAATCATGAAGTCCCTTTTAGGGAGGTCTCATCTACCATCAAGTGCTTTTAGATTTACAACTCAAACGAGCTTTGTAAAATCTCAGTTCCATTACTAGCATTACACAACATGCAGACCAATGTCCACTCCAGAGGTGAAAGCAGAGGTGAAGCAGGTGAAGACTCGCTACAGAACAAGGGAACAGTGAACTCCTCTCTGTAGGATGAATATAAATATCTTCCACACAAATCAACCTACGTAACAGAGCTGAACCCAATGCAGGCTCTAAAATCATTCTCTACTCTGAAAATCTGTTTATTATGTACATCACTAACCAACTAAAAAGAAGATGAAGTGAACATTCACAGATTAAAATCCATGAATGGGTCTAACTGCTTAATCGTGAAGTGACCCAAGCACAGCTCAGCTCTCACTGTGTTAATGCAATCAGCACTTGTCTAACAGAGAAATAAAGCACTTTGAAGGGAATCTTATGCAACATATTTACTTGGAGTAGAAATTTAGAGAAATGGAAGAATGACCACTTTCAGTACTCAGAAGAAACTGACATTTTAGTATCCAAGCAACCACAAAGTAGTTATCATTTTATACTAGTTGAAAGCCATTATGCTCTATAATATTATTAGGTTTTCAGGACAGATTCTGTTTCTGAGAGTTCGAGAAGCTCTCCTCCATTTTTAATAAGTCTCAGAGGTTTTTTCCCCCCCCATACTTTTTATGTAACATGCTTTTGTTCTGGGAGAGTAGGTGTTTACAGCGTGATTTGACTCCGATTTAATGAGATCAGAAGTCAAAAAGGCCATAAATCAACACTTTGTTGTACCAGTTCCAGCCTCTCAGGGAAAATTATGCAAGTTTCTAGCGATTCTCCTTTATTCTTTTCTGCCAGTCTACCCCAGGCTCAAATTTCTAACAACAATCTAAGTTTGCAGTTGTTCAAAATCCTAGAAAAAGAAAACTCAGGTTTCATATGCTGGGCAAGACTTTTCAATAGTGTAATTTACAGTATTACAGTTGTTAAATATCAATACAAAATAACATCCTCCATATTATAATCTCAATCCTTTGCCCAGTTAACTGTTTCAGATTTTATCACATTGTTTCTCACACATCTCTGCTACACTAATGTGATGAAAAGCTGAGATTTAGGTTCAACTACTTGAAAGATGTAAGAGGGAGTTAGCTCCAAATCTGAGATCACAGCAGAAGCAAAAATCTGTTCTCACTTTTCAATAAGGTCAAAATCAACCATTTACTCTTGTGACCTATGCCATCAAAACCCAGCATTTAATCTTTCATGTTAAGCACATTACTTTCTCCTGCCCTCCATCCTCTAAGCTGCAGTGACAGGGAAAAAATCCAGGAGTGGGCTGCAGCAGTGGAATGGCAGAATTAGGGAAGTATTACACAGATTGGGAAAAAGGAAAACCCACTGAGCAGAATCAAGGCACTGAACTCAGTATAGCACAGCTTGAATGCGATGACCAGGGACTAGTGCTTTCAATTAGAGAGAGCTGGCTTCAGGGAGAACATGGGCACTGCATGTGGCAATGCTGGGGAACAAATCAAAGTACGGTGCAGAGGAATATGGCTAATATTCTAATATTTCACCTATACGCAATATCTCAAAAGTCCTAGGTATCCTACACTAAAGAGATGTGTCTCTACACTAATGTGGACTAGCCACATCAGACCAAGTTCTACTTTTTCTGCAGATCAAGGTCAGATTAGAGAGAAGAGTCTATTTATTTATAAAAATTTGGGGCATCTCCATTTTTTTCATAAGGTATTATAGAACAGCAGCCTCCTCTCTTCCAGTGTCTCTTCTCTACCTGCTGAACCACTGCCCCAGTCTTTTTCTGCCCAAGTCTTGCTGCCTTCAGTCACAAACACACCTTGGCAGGGCACTGGAAGAGGTATTCCCACATTACTGTAGACAGGTTCTCTGCTGCAGTGATTTGAATCACTTAATTCTTTATGACAAATTTTAGGAGGACTCCAGTATCAATTAGTGCTGAGCGACAACAAACACTGACATGGTTCGTTATGCACCTTTCCTAGAAACTGGTCATCCCCACACAGTCCGCAGCGAGTGCCTCAAGAGTGACAAACTAGACTAGATTTAAAGCACCTCAGAAGTATAGACTGGTGAGAAGTTAAGGATAATACAAGTATAAACTGACTTGGCAGTGAAGGAATACTTGTAAATCAGCGGTTTTGGAAAATAAATTGCTACAGGACATTATATTTCTTAACTAAGATTATTTACCAACCGCCTCCTTCCCAAAAAGGTGAGCCTTGTATATACTTTTTTTCATATAGCGGTTTCCTGACACAAAGACACCTTGCTTTTAACTACCAGAGAGGAGAATTCATAAGCTGCCCAGAGCACTTAAACTGCTTATTTTTGTTGGCATATTGAATCTTTCTCTCTTTTCAGACAAAGTTTCATTCCTTAGAATTCAATTTCCCCTTTTATGCAGAAGTACGGTGCTTGTCTGTCATAAATTCTACCAATCATTTTTCCATTAATTATTTTCATTACTGAAGTTACTTATTGAGGGCTATAATCCCCAAATGCAGTTACGGTACTTGGGGACCAATCTGCACTCTCAATTTCAGTTTACGAGTGTTAAGTGCTTTACATCTTTGTTCTGCTGAACATAAACTTTTGTGTACACACATACTTAAAAGTATCAACAGAAGCTTTTTTTCACATATCTGATCAAATAATGGTAAATACTTTTCAGTTGTATGCATTTACTTACCCGCAGTAGAACAGCACGACACATACATAAGCTAAGACTCCTTGTACTTTTATTGAGCTTGTTACAACTCTGATGAGCTGTTTTAAGGATAAAAGTTAAACAGTTAAAACATACAGCACAAAATTATTAATAGAATATTTTAACAGATGTTTCTTATTTGGTAGATTCAAGGCAAAAGTAGAAATATTTACATTAACAGAACTTTATTCTAATGTTCCCCTTGGTAGCACTAAGTGTTCAAGATTTTGAGTTGAATAAGTATTATACTAGCAGCAAGTTACACCTTTGCCAAAACTACAGTCTGATAATTATTCCTTCACCACTGACTTCCAAGTAGAATAACAAGTGAAAAAGCCCTCCCCAAAAATCAAGGGCTGGAAGCTGAGCTAACAATTTTTGAGGAAAATGTCAGGAGATGCTGATGCAGTAAAACAGAATCAGTGTTTCACACTATGCTAACATTTTGAATACAAAATAGCTTTGTGGACTGGACGTATGAATCCCAAGTTTCAGTATGGGATGATACCAAAATCTCAGTTTTACTTCAGTGTTTCACAGTTTGGGATGCAAGTTGGCAAAGCCCCCAGTTCATTTTAAACTCATTAGTATCCAGGATAACATATCAGAACACAATTAACTTGAACACAGCATTTCAATTGAATTCTCACTGGATGGATTTCACTTAGTTATGAAAGAAATAATTAAAATGGTTGGTTTAGGTTTTTTGTTGTTGGGGTTTTGTTGTTTTTTGTTTTAAATACTGGATAAAAACTAGGGAAAGCCTGTCAATAGCATTTTTCCCCATCTGTATGGGAGAACATTACATTTAAAAGTTAATTCATATTGATATTCTTCCAGGAAAATTATGATTTAGCATCTTTGCTGGCAAAGCAAGGACACGCTCCCCAGTATTACAGTAACTACTGCTTGTCTACATGTGTGTATGGGAAAAAAAAACAGAGCAGCTATTTACAGAAAACATTCTGCAATAGTTAATTCAGAACAGACTGTATGTGGACACAATTCCAATAACGAAGTGATTCATTTTATAGCAGCATGTCCATGTAGCAGGGTCAACTATTTCAGAATTATGTATTCTACAACAGCTCAGAAGGTCAGTGTCCCATATAAAAGAAAACTGAGTCATTAAGCATGGCATTACAGGGACAACCACAAGGACTCCTATGAAAAAACTAAAAAAAAAAACAAACTAGTACAGTATTGCTAACCTTCTGGTAACCAGCTGCTTTGACTATTCCAAATGAATGACTAGGATAATTGCCAAAAGGAATAAATGTCTAATAAGCACAGATGTAGTTCCATTCCGCTGCTGCAGTTCAAGTGCTTATAAATTCTATAAAATTAATCTATGTTTGATTTTCTATGACAGGCTGAAAAACAGTAACATATTCATGAAGTCATAATTAGTATGTGATATAGTTTATAGCGAGTGCTAACTCAACGTTGCAGCATCATTTCATTTACTCCAGGTGATCATTTCATCCTCAAAACATCAAAATGAGCCAGCTACCTCACAGCCATATATTCTCAGACTGGTATCTTATTGACAGAAAACTGCTAGGAAAGATACAACTTACTAAAACAGCCAACGGAAGAGGAATGAAACCCATTCTTCTGGAAACCGAATCACTATAATCTGTATATGCCTAGGAAAAAAAAAAAAGGAGGAAGAATAATGAACTATTTATGCAAAGAAATGAGCTTATTTTAGCTTGGTACACCCTCTAGATAAGAATCAATCTCTGCTAACAAACGCTATGCTGGTATAAAGTGCACCTATTCACATTTTGAAATTCAAATGCAGATAGCTGTACTCTCAGACAAAAACGTAATATTACCATGACCAGTAAGATTAGCTTCAGTGCACTAAATCAAGAGTAACTGGGGTATAATACAAATCTCTAAATCGAGAGCAATTAGGACACTGAATCCAAATGCATGACAATATTTCATCTGTACATTATTACTAGCTTAGAGACCTTTTGGTATTAATTTCACTTTGATCCTCAAATACTGTACAGAGAAATCCATGAGAGACAAAAGAAAAATTATCCAGTACGCTAGCAATTTTAAATCATTCTACAAACATCTATAATTAGCCTTAGTTTAACTATGATAAAATAATTTTGAAAATATGTTTGCATTTGCACTCTCAAAACACAACTATGCCACACAACCACTTTCACACAGTATTGAAGGTCATGCCAAAGTTAGGTAGCACCATACAGACACTAATTTTCCACAGAGGATCCTTTGGAAAAGTAATAGGAATCTTCAGAACTAAGAAACCTTTTTTTTTTTTTAAATTAACAAATTATCAATAATTAATTATTTGTAATTGCAGGTGTCTAACTTCTTCATGAAGTAACTATTGCATTCCGAGCAATATCTATTAAACATGCCCAAGAAAACTACATAAATTATTATAATAAGTTCATTTCATAGTTAGAGCACTCATCTGGAGCACCCACTAATAGGTAAGAGACTCATTCAGGAAAGGTGTGCTATAAATAGTCTTCCAAAAAAACAGTACTAATGAAAAACACAAGCAGTCTGTGTGTTCCATAAATACCAATGCCACACCAGTAACATGCATGGTACAAACACCCCTATACATCTGCACATGCTGTCAGTGAAGAAATAATATAAATTACTAAGGAACACTGTTTTTTCACTGAATTTCACTGAATTTTTTTGATCCAACACAGTTAAAGGGAAAAGAACACTGATTTAAAATTATTAATTTATTTATTTGTTCCAATACCCCTCCCCCCCAATAACAATTATGTTCGTTAATACAAGAAAACGCCTTTATTTTCAGGCTTACATTTTTCTGTCGACTGCTAACAAGGTCAAATGCAAGACTGGCTCTATATTCACTGTAGACCTGGAAAAAATCCAGAACATTGGATGCATGATTAATTTTTTATCACACTTGAGAGAAGCAACAGAGATACTAATAAAATATTTCTGTAAAAAATATTATAAACACTTATACACAGGCTGAATGAGTCAAAGCCTGTTTTTCTAATGTCTAATTGCACCCTTCAACAGATGAGTCTATATTTCTGCCATAAAGTTACTTGTGTACATAAACAAACAAACAAACAAAATCCTAAAAGCAAAAATTTGAGAATCATCAGAAATAAAAAGCAAGATAAACCATGTTTACTTTTTTCCTACAGTTGATAATTTGTTTTAAGCTACATGAAAGTAGTGCTGGGATCAAACTAAATAAGAAAGTTTCCTTATATACCAAGCGTTTCCATGAAAAAAGCAAATTGTATCAGAAGATGAATGAAGCTTTTATTTCTCTTTGAAACAGTTCTGCACATTAAGACAGAAAAGTATCTGTTTTAAAGACAAGTGTCAGGGCAATTTCCACTACGGGTGCTCAAAACTTCTGAAAAAGTCTGACCTAGCAGCTGTAAATCTTTAGAACTTCATGCAAAAAGTACAAAGTTTGTTAAATAAACCCTGCAAAATCGTCACCCCCCTACCCCCATCTTCCAGCTGTTTCAGCACACTGAAGCATGCTACGTTTTTGGCTATCATGACTTTATTACTGCTCTTTTTCACACTCTCTATGCAAAAGTAGGGCACGCATAAATGCCTCTGGCGAAAGGGAGCTTATAAGTACATCTATTAAACTTGTTTCCACACTGCACAATGCAGTTACTTGAGACATGCTGAAAAAGATAGCACTTCCAAGTCCTGATCTCATTTCCTGAAAAGTGGTTTTATTAGTGAAAAATTGCTAACTCATCTCTCCATGAATTTATTGAGTGCATTTGAATTCGCCCAACACGCAAGGCAAATGGCCAATGTATCATGCCGCACCACACAAAAAGTAACCTCGTCTATTGCTTTAAAAGAAGGACTGCATAATATATATATGGCCTAACAAATTTAAAGAGTGGGAAACTAAGAGATAACCCACTTCATATTAGTGCTCCAGGGACAGTGGAAAAATATATCTCTGCCTTCAGATACTACCTCTAACACACAGGCAAGAACGGAGATTTGGCTGCCTCACAATACCCATTTTTCCTAAAGCCTGAATTTTACTCTACAATCCATTCTGCTAGGAAAAGGTACAAGCTCTGCCTAGATGACAGAACAAGTCATCCTCTGTCAATGGAACCAGTGATCACTTCACAAAATCATCTGCCAGTTATGTGAATTGTAGTTGTTATGTGAATTGTTACACAACGCTTTCAATAATTTATGGATCTGGAACTACTAATTTAGAAGCAGAGGTGTTATAAAGATCCTCAGAATTACATTGCATCAGGAAATTACAAAGCTTTCTCAAATGATATCCTCTATATGAAAATAACAATTTTTACACTTCGGTGCACTTGAATCAAATTTCATATTTAAAAAAATATTACCAAAATAAACAACTTAAAATAGCACTCAGCATTCCGAACGGGATACCTACATCTGCTGTGATGTCATTGAATTTTGTTATAAAGGCATGTTTCACAATATCCACCGCAATTTCTGAAGCAACCACCATGCAAACATCCGGGAATAACACCCAAAGATGATCTGAAGGCCGGGAAGAAACAAGTTAGCTCATTTAATTTGGCTCAATCAAGTATACAAAGCAAAAATTGTAATGCTTTTGCTCAAAAGTCAAAAATCCTCAAGAGCCTGAAGAGACTGTAACTTTACATCACCCCCCCGCAGGCACTGTGCAAATTCTCACATATTCCACTGCTCTTCTAGAACCTTATCAGTAGGAAAACAACCTTTGTATATTGAGTATGTATGAGAAATAGACAGAGCACCTGCAGTTTTAGATGCTTAAGGTAAAATTTAGGTAGACTTGTAACATTCAAGCAAAATACACCACACAGATCAGGGCTCAAAATTATTAAAATAAAATAAATTCAATGAAGTAAAATCCGAATTTTACTCAATATTTATTCAATATAGTATTAAAATCCTAAATATAATCAATGTTAAATTATTCATGGCAATTTTTACATAATCTTCTATCAAATTTCAATCTCACTCGCCTCAGAAAATAAAATTCTCTAGGGGATTCGTCATCCTCAATGTACACCAAGGAAAGGGAAGTGCTGCGAAGAAATCATTCAAGACACTACTTGAAAAATAACTATGCATGTTTGTAGTATAACAGCATGTACTTCTAGAAGAAAGCATGGACTCATGATTACAAAAAAGCCAGAAACAGAAAAATGAGAATCTAAGGTATTTGACAAATTAAGATTCCTCAACTAAATGTCCTGGTTACCCTCATCTTTCAGGTTGCAGAAAGAAGGAAGAGATACAGTTGTTGACAGCTCAGAATCTGTCATTTTGTATATCTGTCATTTTGTCATTCTTCTACCAGTTTACTCACCTGGATTCCATGAGAACTGTTCCATATTTCTTAGACATACAATTAGTAGCAGCACGTAATTGGTGAACCTCTCTTTAATATCTAGATAAAAAGAAAAAAAGCTGTCAACCGCAAAGAAATATGTATTTGCATATATAGATATCTACTCATTCTGTGGTTCTATTATTTATTAAATCTTGGATTAGACAATCTTTTCCACAAATCATTTGATGGGATTTGAGGGGAGGGGATGTTGGTAACGTCCCCACGGACAGGAGCTCTGCCTGATGCTGCATCAGCTCAAGGGTTCCCAGCATCAGAAGGGACTTATGTTGTGACATGCTGCCACCTTTTCTAATACATTGATAAAACAGTCATCTTTCTTGATAAAGTTTGTGCATTTCTTGTGTGATTCAATAAGAACCAGCACCTCCTGGTGCAAAAATGGAGACAAAACACCCGTCTGTCATTTCAAGTTACTAGCAAGGCAAATTTCAAGGGAAGTGTTTCAAGACAACTATTACACCTTATTTCTAAGGCTCCTACTAGTCTTTTACATTGCCACCTTAAAATGGGACAGCAGGATACATCAGCTCAGTTATCAAAACCGTAAGAACTGTAACACAAAAGGAGTTTGACTTGACCCTCCCCGGTGAGGCAGGGTCTTTGTTTTCTACTTTGGTACCCTGCCTCCAGAAACAACCCACAGCACTCACTTCAGGATGCATCACTTTAACGTATTAAAAAACCTCCCTGAAACCGTATTATTGAAAAATTGGGATAAAACCTAAAACATAAAGTCACCACAAATTAGCAAGACTGAAGAAATCTTTTTCGAAGACAGAACTATTATGAAAATCTGTGAAAATACTGTTATCACTTGTTACACCCATTAATAATGAAAACAGTAATTTCTTTGCAGGTGAGTCATCTCCAAATCCAAAGGGTTCATTTCTTGAAGCACCTCAAATATTCTGTGGTGTTCTACTTACTGATTTTAGCCAAAATTGAAAGAAAATAAGGAGAAATATAAAGGTTCAGAAGAACACACAGGAATCCATCTGAACCAAAACATATTTGACTTTGGCTTTGTGTAAGCAGCTTCCGTCATCTCTGACTACAGACCAACAACAATGTTCATGGCTGCAGTTACTGTATTCTAGTATAACAATATCTCTCATTTTAAAAAACAAAGTTTCAAAATACTGCCAAGCCTGAAGGGAGTAAAAAGAAAAGAACAATTCCTCCACAAGAAGAGAATGAAAAGCACACAGAATTCAAGAACTATGAGATTGTATGCACACGTGTAAAAATGCACATTTTGGGGTACGTGAACTCATCTTTCTGTATGTGCTGGGTATCACAAACTGTTTTTCCATTAGAATATAGTACAGTAACTCTATCCATTATAAGACAGGGTTAAATGACAGCCAGAACAATAGGCTGAGGACATTTCAAATGGTCGTCAGCTACTCCACAAGTAGGTGATTAAGAAGTTTACCTTCTCACTGTTTACACTCCTAAGTGTTGAAGAACTTACATCTAGCACTAATTTGGATACACTTATCTTGTTGACCGGGCTCTTGTGAGCACATACCATGCATAGGCTGCGTTCTAATACCCTGTTTAAACTGTTCTTAATAGGGCTGGCCCTGAAGCCTGGCCACGCATCACACTACACACTCACTCGCCATGTACACACTCTTTAGACTATTTTGAAAAGTGACAATTATGCCCCTGAATAATCCCAAGTAGCTCTAGTGACAATTGTCTTTTAACAAATGACCAGAGCACAAGAAAGGATCAGACCGAACAAGGAATCGTCAAGGAGGCACTGATCTAACTTAAATGTACTCCTGCCTCCAAATCCCTTATCCTTAAAATGAATAACTAGATTACAATAATGATATTTAAAAAAAAACCAAACAACTAAAGCCACATGAGAAAGCAGTTTGACTTCCAGAGACCAAAGGCAAAAGTGAAGGCTGTTCAATATTTTGATCAGAACCACAGAGACTGATAAATTGGGAACAAAGTAGGAAGAACAGAATTAAGGGGGGAAAAAAAAAAGTGTAAGAAATTACAAAGAAAAACACTGCAGTTCCTAGAGCTTCAGAATAAATGTTACATTTTTGAGATGGGAGATTTAAAAAACAAGCAATAACCTGGCCAAACAGCCAAGTGAAGTAAATAACATACTGCATTACACCTAATGTACTTCTTCATATGAAGTACAATTGTGTTTTGTGAAAAATTTAGTTTAGAGCACAGCTTGAAATTAAAATAAGACATTTAAAAGCATAAAGGAAAGCAGCATGCTGGGCTTTCAACAATGATGAAAGAGCTTCTCTTTATAATTTTGGTCTCTTTGTTCACTAGTCCTGAACCCTACAAAATTAGCTTACAGATATCTATTTGAAAAAGAGAACATACTCATAAATTTAGGGAGAAATTTCTTCCTGCTACAACAAACTAGAGGTTCTACATCTTACATGTAGAAGTCCTTTCCAATGGCCACAGTGTTTAGATGGCCTGGGTGTACATCCATTTCCTAGTAAAAGCCAGGGTGACAATGTGACAGCAGCTTTGCTGTCACAAGTCAAAGCTGCAGGAGCAGATATGGCAGAAATCACAGGTTCTGCAGCTGCAATCTCAAGCAGCTACACAAACCTCAAGATCTTTGTTCACCTCCTGCACCTATAAGATAACAGGTTTGGGTTTATTAGATAACTGTGTATCCAATGTGTATCTCATGGGCTGTTCAGTTAGGTTTTACGTAGATGATTCACAGTTCTTTTAGTCCTGATTTTTTAATGAATTAGATGCTAAAGCACCAATGTGTATCTCATGGGCTGTTCAGTTCAGTTCAGTTTTATGTAGATGATTCACAGTTCTTTTAGACCTGATTTTTTAATGAATTAGATGCTAAAGCAGAGTTTTAAATGGCCATACAAAGATGAGAAGGATCACCGATTCCACTAAGTCCAGAACTGGAAATACTGGGAAAAATAGCACAGTAACGCATCAGCTTCCTATCCACAAGCCAGTGCTGAGCACAATGCAAAGTGAAAAAGATTTCATTATTTCCAGATGTAAACTGGTAGCTTGGTGGCACTTGATAACCTAGTGCCTTACTACAGTGTCTTCAGTGCAGAGCTCCACAAGGGACTTCAATGCACAATACAGGACACAGCTTAGAAAGAACAACTGAAACATTCATTTCTGTTTTCATGCTTCTATTCACATTACTTGCTTTTAAATTCTATCTGTAGCAACTTCTCTTGAACACGATGTCCACTCTTGAGGTCACTGATGTCTTACTTTTCTGGTAGTTCATATTTTTCTTCTGATTAACATGCTAAATAAGAAGGGAGTTTCATCTACTCATAAGAAGTTTCCCAGATGCCTCTCTGAGACTGACCTTATTTCCACCACCCCTTCCCCCCGCAAGAATTAGAATATTTAGCTTCTAGGAGTTTCACCTACTCATAAAAAGTTTCCCAGATGCCTCTCTGAGGCTGACCTTATTATTCCTCCCCCCCGCAAGAATTAGAATATTTAGCTTCTGTGTACTACTTAGCACTTTTTAAAGGATGCACAAGCCTGACTGGAAGCTGAGTTCCAGCAGCAGGATATAGCACTGGGATAGCCCTGCCAAAGCAAGATGCGCTACCGTTTCAGTTGCAGGAAATAAAACATTTAAAAAGGGTAACAAAGTCATCAGAATACATGAACCAAAGCAATACTCATCCATCCTTACTGAAGCTGTGATGCAGTAAATCTGTTCAAGTTCAAAAGAGGTGAAAATCTCTCCTAAAAACCTGCCTGTATTATTTACCTATGAGAAGAAAAGCTCTGCTATTTATAACCATATCGAGAAGTGGTTTCAGGAAAAATTATCTGTTTAAAAGGAATAAATTAGCTTGTTTTGTGCACTCTTCTATGTATGTACTCACCTGCTTCCAGCCCCATATGGTGTCATGAATGGCATCACTTTTTCCAAGTGATAAAGGGAGACCTGATATTGCTATTATGGGTCTTCAAACATAATGTCTAGCAATAAAATATTGATATACATTTCTTCTGGCATACTATTGCAGGTGTTTTTTATGGAGGAAATTACTAGCCATTTTCTAATAGCAGCCCCTAATTTATTTCAACATTTAAATCAAGAAAGAAGCCTGGCCTTTCAGTAGGAGAGCTGGATACACACTTGTAACTATTTTCTGTGAGTACAGTGAATAAAGAGAGAAAATTATAAAAACTCATCTATGTTTTCTGTCAATATTTTTGTAAACATCACTTTTAGATGTTCTCACTGTAAAGCTAAATATATTTATTTTTAAAAATGTAAGTATTTAAATTTTGGAATCAAAAATACACAGAATAAACACCTAATCAACCTGTCTGGGATGATTACTTTTTGGGGTTTTTAAGAACTTCTATGAGGCAGATTAAATTTGACTGCTAACTTTTCTGTTACATGATATATTTAAGATTTTATGTAAACAGTCTTTCATCCAAATCATCACAAAACAATGGCCATTTAACATTTGCATATAGCATCACTGCAGTTTGCAGATGAATTAGACAAAAAAACGCATGAATAGCTGGAATTCAAAACCTGAAGCAAATCTGCTGAAAGTTTAACTCTTGATAACAAAAAAATCCAAATCATCCATTTTTAAATAAGCAGCTAGATTATTTTTTTTAATCTATTGAACACTTGAGTTCTCTGGTTTAAAAAAGACAGGAGTTGGAATGAAAAAATCTATTCTATTTTGTCTGCTTATCTGTATAAATAGCTTTATCCAAAATGTCATATGCACAAAGTAACAGAACCGAATGTATTCAAAGATCAGAAAGTATTACAAGCAAAGAAGCTCTAACACAACCTTAAGTGAATCCATTTTTAAATAAGCAGCTACATTATTTTTTTTAACCTATTGAACGCTTGAGGTCTCTGGTTTAAAAAAGACAGGAGTTGGAATGAAAAAATCTATTCTATTTTGTCTGCTTATCTGTATAAATAGCTTTATCCAAAATGTCATATGCACAAAGTAACAGAACCGAATGTATTCAAAGATCAGAAAGTATTACAAGCAAAGAAGCTCTAACACAACCTTAAGTGCAGCATCTCCTATTAGTTTTGAAACCAAGAATTCAACAAATATTTCAGATGGCTGATATCAGTATTAGAAAGAACCACCATCAAAGGCTACTTATAAACAGCTTCTCCTCATGAAACACACATCCTCACAACTGCAAAACAACAGGCATTCTGAGATCACTGTCAACACAGCATGCTACAAAGTCAACTTTTTTTAAACCACAGAAGACTTCAGAGACTTTGAAGCATGGATATTTTGAGTATCATAACTTAAATCTGAAATCTGCATTTAATAATATCTTTAGCACCCAGCAAACAGGTTGTTTCAGCACCTCAAATAAAAGTTAGCCATTGAAGGAAAAACACTGTTCCTGGAAATGGAATCCCAGTTCCCACTGAACCAAAACGTAATAAGGAAGATAAGGAGTTCAAGTCAGAATGCTCAAATTCACCAAGGTAAAGCTGTTTTAACATTAATATTATATTCAGCGTCTCACTTCATCTTTTCTCCTGATTAGCACAGCTATACGTACCGCTATTGGACATTTGAAAAAGATTGTTCTTCTCAAACTTCTTGAAAACGCTTCCTTTTATTTCAACAAACTGCAATTTTTAAAAACAGTCAGTTAGGTTCTATTGATAAAAATGGATATAAACAAATCAGACAAATAATATGCAAATAGACATGTGATACATAAAGATGAAGGACACTGAAGAAATTCTGGTTAGCTATATAATGCCACATACTTACATTATTGGACATCATGATGGTAAGCAGTGATTTATTGTGGGAGTTGAAGGCCACGTTAAGGGTTGTTGCTTGAACCATTATAAGAATAGCATGCAGGACTAGAGAGCTGGGTTAAGGAAACATATTTGGAAATAGTTTTTCTGCACAACAGTACTGAACAGCACCGGAAGTTACAGAATCATCATGGTTGGAAGAGACCTCAGAGTCCAGCAACAAAAATATCCCCCAAAAAAAGACCAACAACACACACACCACACCCACCCACAAACCAACAATCTTGGGCACTAGAGCATGCCCTGAAGTGCCATGTCTACATGTTTCTTAAATACCTCCAGGGATGGTGACTCCACCACCTCCCTGGGCAGGCTGTCCCAGTGCCTGATCACCCTCTCAGGAAAGTAATTCTTCCTAATATCTAATCTAAACCTCCCCTGCCACAACTTCAGACCATTTCCTCTGGTCCTGAAGTCAAATTCCCTGCTTTGCTTCCAAAGCTTAACAAAAAAGTTTTAATTTCCCTGTCAACTAGATTTAGAGCTAGACAGTATGTAAACCTATGTAATGTACCCACAGTACATTATACCCTTTAATAAATATGTTAACTTTTTTTGTTCAAAAAAAGCCAAATGACATTCGTCACAAGAAACAACAATATAAGCTGCAAGAAAAAAAGCTGAGATGAAGAAAGGTTCTAAATTAATCCAAATGTTTCAGAGAAAACAGGGGAAAGTACAAGAATTCTAAATTCATCACCACATCAACTGGACTATGAATCTCTTTACAGGTCATCTTCATCAGTTCACTATAAGGTTACTTCACACTAAACTCATCTCCACCCTGAACATGCATGAGTTTATCATCCTTTCACGTCAAGAAAATGTTTTCAAATTAGGTGTCTGTAACATTCCACTAAATAACAAAACCCCACTGTCTTGAAGACCCTGTGACTGCAAATAAATATCAGAGTTTCCATGAATTACTACTACTAGTTTTTCATTTTATTATACATTAGGTATTAAAAAAGCTGTCCACTACTGTAATGGTATTCCATTATGAAGGGATTTTTTTAAAGCAGTTTAAAAGGCTTTTTCATTCATTTTAAAGACCCATAGTACTGGCAATAGTAATTTGAAAGTAAAGGAACACTAATTTAGGAATACTATCAATTCTTCAAATCTATTAAAAATGCAGAGCAATTACTGTGTAATTTAATTTAGAAAATCAATTTAGAAAAAATTGCGATTTATTGAAGAAAAAGGATACAGACATACAGCACTGCCATGAAGAAGTGAGGAATCACACCTATGTGAGCTCTTTTTCTTTCCTTAGGTTCTGTAGCTGTCCAGTAAAGAGCATCCAAAATATCTTGTCCAAATGAAGAAAAGAGACGATCAGCCACCTAAACAAGAACAAATTTTACTGTCTTAAAGCAATAATGTTCTCTCTGACACTCGAATATGCCACTGTGAGTACTGCTTGACCTTAATGAAAGTTTAATGTATTTATCACTTTCCATCTTTTGTGCATTTCATTTCCACTCTGGATTTCACAGTAATATTGTTCCTTTTGTATACTCAGCACCTTACTTTCCCCCTCAAATTTACTACCCCCGTTTCAACTGTATTTACAATATATAACCATGTAGTGTTATCTTAGATGCTTCTTTGGAAGTCATCCAAGTACAGTTCAGACTTCAGCCTTTGATAAAGCAATTTGTATGTTGCCTTAAACTGTTCTAAATGTTTTTTCCATCCCTCTGGATTTAATAAGGGAAAAAACCAATGACAAGTGCATTTTAAACATGCAATAGGGAACAACATCAGCTTATAGGTACACAAAAGACTGAAATTAGACTTGGCTGTACTCTTTCCTTACCTCTTGGAATAAAGTATATACTCAATACAAATATCTGCATAAAGCAGAATTCAAAATTAAAAGGACTATAACACAACAGCAAGTGATCAAGAAAGTCTGTCAAAAAGGGAAAATTAGTTTGAAAAAACTATCAACACCTGAAGTGTAACCCACAGACTACATGCACAAGTAGGAACAAAAGTTGCTGTAATTCTAAAGATAGGAAAAACACAGACAGCGATCTGAGCTCGTAATTCAATGCCACAGTAAGAAAGGTCACAGTGCCTTCCACCAGTTCTCAACACTTCATCATCATCAAGCATGTAAAACTGAAGATCATTACAAGGAAAGACTTTTTTTCTGCCTTTACATTACAGTTCAGTAATTTCAAGACTAAGCTGCACAGGACAACAAAAATAGCACTTCAAAAACTAAATTTGGTATCACAAGTCTGGCTAAAGACATCTCTTTCATCGCTTACTAACTCAACCAAACAGAAGTAGTTATACATGAAAAACTGATTGTCTCTACATGATAAAGACAACTGGTAATTCCTCTTACTGTCTCTGTAAGACAACAATTTTGGACCTGTTAAAACAACATGTGGCAACATAGAACTAGGTGCATGATGTACCTGCACATACCTATTAACTAGAAAATAAGTTCTTTGGACAACATAAGCAAACCGTAAGCCTAGATTTGGGATTTATTTCCTGACTTCATTAAGAGTTCTGAAGGTAAACATACTGAAGGGAGAAAAGTCATATACTTTAACTAATTCAAGCCAACATTTATTGAAGTTTCCTAAAACATGAAGGCTGAATTAAAACAAATTTTTACTGAATGTCTCAAGTCAACTGTACTGTATACTACTCTTTAAGCATCACCTATGAAATAAAATGAACAAAACCATGAGGTGATGAATTATCATAAATCTGAAGCTCAAAAAACCCCATCAGTTTGAGAGATATTTACAGTGGTATTGTTTTCGGCTTTTAAATTTTGTAAATTCAGGTGTTGTGCATTATTTGGTTCCTGCTCATTGTGATGACCCACTGAGTAATTACACCTGGTGTAGTAACACCAACTACAGAATGCTTAGAGTTTGGTAAGTTTCTGTTCACAATATTGTGAGGGTTTTAATAGATAAAATATTGGCTTTGCTTTCCTTTTTATTTAAGCAGTTGTCGTTTCTTAGCTGACAGGACAGAAAATATTAAAACCCACCACACAATATTGTTGCTTGCTTTTCCAAATAGGACTTACCTAAACCCTACATGCCGGCTCCAGGCTCCAGCAGAATTCCATGGTGAGTGCTGTCACCAGCATAACGCACACTGGGGCTTCACAAGGAGCAGGAGCCGGTGGGTCTGAATCTAAAAAAGAAAAGTGTCATTTTAAGCCAAATGTGCTGAATGCTCCCCTCAGGCTGTCCATCTGGAGCATTCAGCACATGATTTGAAGACTCGTCATTCCTTCTATCTGTCCAGGACAGTATTCCCTGGACTTACCAACAGCCGAAAACATTAGGACATTGTAAACATCTCTGTTGCTCAGTGATTTAACTAAATTAAAAAGATCTTCCTATTTTGAAAACTTGTGAAAATGTGAAGTTTATTATTTAAAAACCCCCACATTTAACAGTTTCTTAAAAAGCACTGCTTGCATTAGTATCACCCAAGTAGCCTAACTCCACATATTTAACAGTTTCTTAAAAAGCACTGCTTGCATTAGTAGCAAAGAAAAACAAAGTTCACCCAAGTAGCCTAAGCAAGGCAACACTCAAACTGTTGAAAGCTGACTGTCAACCAAGTCTTTAGTGGGATCCCATGACATTTTCTGCCCATACTGTGGCTGCAGCCTAGCATGGTAAAAGGGGTCCTTTAAAAACATGCCCTCTGCTTGGATTTCATGAGACATCATGGAAATTAAATAGTTTCCAACTTCAAAGTCTAACGTAGTTTTTCTAATAACTATGAGTGGTAAGAGTTCCCCCTTTCCTAAGAAAAAGAAATTCAGGGAACACTTCTTAGTTGAGACACACAAATTTGGTTCTGACAAAAGTAGCAAAGAAACTAAACTCAACTCTTCATTCAAAATGGAATGGCAGATGGCTTCCAATTCACAGCAAACACTGCAGTCTATCTTCAAATTACCTGGTAAGCACATAGGGCTGTACTTTCTTAGCTTTAAGAGAAGTGACTTGAAGTAGTGATTTCTCTTTATTTCAAGGCTATTTTGAGCACATGTATTTATTTAGTAAGTGATAATCTCTCACAGATTATAGAACTATATATGGATGACTACTTCCCAAAACAACTAAAATCCACATAGTAACTCAATTTGATATTTGTTCATGTTTTTCAGCAACTCTAAAATCAAAGGAAACAAAACCCTATGAAAAAACAACTGAGGTGGTTTGTAGGATATTTATTTCACTTAGGATAATGAAGTGTGTTCCTTATGCAATATTTTCATATTTTATGAGGAAAGAACAAGTACCTTTAGACAAAATATTCAGATTTTGCATAAAGCATAGCCCTGTTTTAGCAGTGTTCAAACAAAGGTGCAACAGATGTTCAAATAAGGATTAGTATCTTATTCAGAGAATCCTGATAGAGTAACTCTTGTGTACAAAGCTCTGATTGAGTCCTTTTAAGAGGTTGAATTCCTCGTATGTCCTATATTTGCAGGACACAGATAAGACTGTAGCTATAAAAGTATTATTTACTTTGTGAATCATTGATCATAGAAGTAAAATTAAAAATCTCATGCTTTACAAAACAGAAAGACTCTTTTTTTCCACCCAGAATTTCTCTTTATCCTACCCCCTAAACCAGAATTTCCTTTTCTTGTTTCACTATATTCATTCAACATACTGCTTTTGTACTCAGGCTTTCGCCCACCAGCCAGGACTGAGACAGGTTAAGCAGCAACATCTGTCCTTGCATACAATGAAAGCTATATTTCCATAATGAATAATTAAAAACCAAATTCCGTGTCTTCTACCATCTTCCTTCTCTGCTCTTTCAGAATCTTACCACTGTTTCAAATCAACAGTTTGACTTTTCTCAATGAGTTCAAAACATCATTCATTCCACTTCCTGCATTTCAGTTTAAGACATTTCTTCTTCCATTTCCAGTTCTCAATTTTCATTCAACTAAATTGATTAATAAGCTCCAGGAACTAGGTAATATGAAGCAGTATCGAGAAAACGTATTTTTCACAAATGTGTCTGTTTCACTGCATCTGGGCTTACCGTGGCTACATGCCATATTCTAAGAACAAATACTGTAATACAACAATATTTTAGATAATCTGAAAAAAAGCATGCTTGATATTCTGATGCCACCATTCTTACCTCAAGCATATTATAGATGATGTAGAGCTTTATGACAGACTGTCCCCTTATCAGATGATACATCATAGAGTAGTCAACATAGTGCATCATGAAGTAGCAGATGACCAATATAACTCCTTTGAGAATGTCACATACCTGAGCGGGTTGTAGCAAACGTCTATCACTGAAATACAAAGGGCAAAAAGTTCCACTAAATGTCATATACCCACAAAATGCAAATGTTACTAAGTCAATAGGAATTTACAGACGCTGTTAATCGAGGATATATTTTTAATGTAGTTTATTATTGCCCCTTCCCCCGTCCCTCACTCCAACACATAAGGACCATCAAGACTGTGTTACACATTTACAAGATCACACTCCTGAACAGGATCACATTTCTCTCATCTGCCACATCCATTTAGTTAAAATACTGTACTTGCTGAGTAAGAGTTCTCACTTGCTAAGAGCCTTCTGCATGCACATCCTTTGGTTTTTAATTTACCTTCCCTCTTCCAGCCTGTTCTACTTATCATTTCTACTTCCTCAGTTACAGAAATTGTATTTGCTATAACCAAAAGAAAAAGAAATGAAGCAGCCATCTTCAATTTCAGTATAATGAACTAGATGCTGAGGAACAGGTTCTAAATGCAATTCCGTATCTTCTTTTAGCTCTATGCTGTACAGCAGTAAATGCAAACAGTTTGACATCAGAGCTTGGGCTGATCTTGAAACAATGCAGAAGTTTTCTATCTATAGCCCCACAAGTAGATTAAATGAATCATTACACAATTTCATCCAATAAACTGAAAACGCCGGAAGAAAACAGCTTTACTTCCGTTCCCACAATAGCAGCCATAAGCATAATGAAATTGCAAGGCAATATTTACTTGTCCATTTACTTAGTTTAGCATTAATAGGATGCAAAGCCTTTATAAAGCCTTCAAATAAAAGAAAAAGGTTATTTGAGAATTAAGTATCAAAAAAATAGAGAAATAACTTCTATTACATGTATGTATTTTTAATACACACTGAAAGGCTTCCACAGAAAATAACCTTTCCCAAAAGTCGGAACCAATCAGCAGAATGAAAGTTCGGAATTTTCGTTTTCTGTATTCTTAAATCACTAGGTTATTTAGAAATTAGACAATTCTCCCATAAACTGATAACATTGTTAAAAAAAAAGTTGATAAAAATTCATGCTTTTTAAAAAAAAAACAACAAACATCCAAACAGTTACTTATGACCTCAGGGAGTCAAGACATCCTACAGCCCCTGCAGACAAGGCAAAAATCCCAGCTACAGGACTCATTCTATTTAAACACAACATTGGAACTAGAGTGTTTTATTTTGGGTTTCTTTGTCATCTTCCATTCCAAAGAAACAAGCCCCAAGACAGCATCCATGCACTAGAACACTCTCAGATAGATCATGCTTGTTCTAGAAGTACGAGCGAGAACGTTTCCAGGACTCTCAAATTTACAGTATTACACTATGAATGGAGTGCAACTGCTCCTTTTATTATACACTTTACACTGCATAATTTGTATTAAAATTATTATATGCTGAATAGAATTCAACCTGGTGCCGCACACCAGAACTGCTCAGAGTAGCTTTCTCACCCTAAGACATATCTTCTTGCTCTCAGAAGTCATCCTGTAACAGTAACCATTCTATTTCAGACTAAGTCCTTGGCAAAAAGCCTCAGTGAATTTTCTCCACACTTTCAGTTAAGACTCAGCTGGGGGGAAAACACCAATTTACAAAATTTTAAGAAAACTGGAAGTGCCCATTTTCCAGCACACCCAGTATTTGCCTGCATCTTCATTTTTCCAGCCAACACCTACCTTATCATTAGAGAAGTAGTGAGTATCTGGTAGAGAAAACCTGACTAGCAAGAGAGAAACCCACTTCAAAAGGCTGTTTTAAAAGCATGGCAAGGTACCAATTTTTACCACGGGATGGTCTCTCGTTGAAATGCAGTTGTAAGCAGAACCTGCTCATGAAGTTCCCTGATCAGTCCTTCAGAAAGATTTCCACAGGAAAATGACTTGATGCCCATGAATCCAATACAGGCTTAAAATTATCACATTAAAGGTTTTCTGGCTTACAGATAACGTCAAAGATCCTCAACCCCCAGCCCAGTCACAAGCTGTGGAATATGCTGTGTACATAACAAACTCAGCATCACAGCAATTCAATTCAAAGGCTGCCCAAAAGGGTCAGATCAACGACACTTGATGGCTGTGCCTTACAGAAATAAAGCTTTTGTAGAACAGAGTACCTTCGAATAATGTTTTTAGAGAATTTTATCTCTCAAAGTGACTTGGATCTAGTTTCTCAGTAGCTTGTGTATCTTGAAAAAACTGCAATAAACACTCCATTTCCCCCCCTGAAGTCTTAAGTAAAAATACTCTATTAATGTCCTATTCAAAGTTGTGCAATAACTTCTTGTGCTTCTCAGCTATGTGAGAAGCAGAACCAACAGTAATCCTATGACAACTTCTTCAAAATACATCTTTAAAAGAAGTCACAAAAATATCCTCACTGTTTCAATTTAGTGAGTTTGATGACAGAAGAGCTCTCAGCACCTCTAACCCTCAGTCAGTACAAGGGATTACTGCAAAGGCTGACTACAGAAAACTGCTCTCTAGAAAGCAAAAAGAGAAAGAAGATCCTGGCATTTAAAATATATTCCAGTGTTCTTTCATCATACACTAAGAAAGACCTCTTCTTATTGACTAGGCAAGTAACGTAGGGTCTACAGCTAATATGTATCTGATTGAAAAAGAGATTAACCATGACTACTGCGTAAATCCACAAAAGCACTTTTATTGCAGCAGAATCCTTTTCCGCTCTGGCTAATAACATTTACAAAAGGATTTTGAGGTGTGGCTCTGAATATAATATGGGGTAGGGATAATTATTTCCTACAAAGACAAGGAGATCAAGTAAGTGGATTAAGTCTAATCATTTGTCACCTTTTGGCAAATATACAGAACTGACTGCAAAGCCTGTGGTTATGAACTGATGTAGTCAGTGTTCGGTGAGAACTGAACGTTGCAGTTTTAGTATATGGTGAGGTCCACATTGGTTTAAACTGCATTTGTCACAAATCATTCCTATCCTTCACATTAAACTGTTTCATACATAGAAACACACAGAGGCTGATGTTATTTTATGCCTGTCTTAGCCCAGCCATTATACACATTACTTTTTCCACATTCATTTTTCTCAATATATGTTTCTACTTATTGTCTCCAGTGCCAACACTCAAAAGTATTTTCAGCACCATCTTGAGTACTAAATAATCAGACCTTGTGATTAATATCACATATAAATTCATAATGCTGTACCTTATCCACCTCATGGGTACTACAGACTTTGAAAAAAAAAAGAAAAAAGCCAGTATCAGCCAAGCTATGACAACTATACAAACGTCAAGAAACAAACAAAAAATACCAGGCATAGTTCTAATACTACTTTCAATATCTGATTTGAAAGTGGGAAGCCAAGAGGTAAAAACTAGACAATACTGAGCTACTGCGTAACTCCAGAAACCACTGAACAGAGATACAGGAAGCTGAAACAGCTTAGCTCATTTCTAAAGACTTTGAATTTTTAGAGTTGCGCATGAAGTGTGACAGGGTGCTCTTTCTCATGAGTGAGAAAATAAGAAAAATAAAGAGTGAGCATAACAATCCTACTTTGTATTTATTCGCTCTGGTTACAACACTGTAAGTAGTAGAATCTCTCTACAGAAATCAATTTGTCTTTTCCTTCAAAGCTATCCCACGCATACAGTGATGCTGCAGAAGTGAATTAAATATTAACACTTTCTTTAGTGAAAACCACTCTTAAAAGATAGTATAATGAGAGCCTTTTTCCAAGATGCAGTTCCTCTGGTTTCCTACTGGATTTCACTTATGTGAATTGTTTCCCAATTAGGCTGACTGCACAGCTTAATGGATTTGAAACTGCAAGTTTCACATCTCATAAGCCAATAAATACACGGATTCAGGGCATTTGGGCTGTCCTTCAAATATGCCTTATTAAGATATGCGACTTCTGTCTTTTCACCTAATTACTTTCTGCCATTATTCCATTATTTCTTCTAATAGTTTTTCTGTAAGTCATGTTCTCCAAGATGCTCTTGACAGAATTTTACAAGTGGTTTCATTATGCTAAGCCTCGAGCTCCCATGTTTAGCTGTACAGACTACCAAAGAATCAAATTTTTAAACTAAACTTCTTCAAACATCAAAGTACCTTAACAGTGAAGAGTAAGGCTTATCCATTCTTTCTATTATCCGCTACATAAAATCTTGTATTGCTTTACTATTACTACAACTGAACACACTGAGCTGTTTAAACATGAGATGATCCTTCAATCTGCATGAATTCAAAGTGAAAATCCAAGTGTTCCTCTACAGATAGACTCTCTCACACTGCAACACTAACTAGCAAATTAAGACAACACAGAAAAACACACACAGGGATTTCCATATGCTACAGCACGTACCTAACAAGATGTTCAAACTCCTCAGCCTTTGGGTACATTTACCATTACATCTACTAATTTACAGAAAAATCTCCACTGACACAAACCCTTGTGCGCCAAATAATGGCACACAACATGGCACCAAATAATATAATTATACAAATGCATGTTTATGGAAATATACAAGCTTATTATTACTTTTAATATAAGAAAGTGATGTGTGTACCACCCTATTCCACCCCAGCACGCTTGTGCTTCAGCCCAGTCAATTAACCAAAGGAGAAGCATGCCAAGCTCAATGCTTATCACATAGGGTCTGAGGCAGCTGAAGGTACAGCAACATTTATACACTGCACTAGTCGACATCAACCAAGAACCAGGAATTCAGACAATCTGTCTGTTAATTACTTTTTTCAAGACTATTTATAAGCTCAAGGTTTAATGCTCACATTATGTCTATGTTTACCCTTTAGAAAGCTAAACCCAAGCAACTTTCCTTACAAACAGTTAGGAAGAGTTACTTTTTACTACTTTATTCTGTACTTTCTACAGAACAAAATTAAAATACTACCAAATCAGAATAATATCAAATATCCTGGCCATCCACAAATTTGTACTATACATTTTAGGAACAACAAAAAAAAAAAGAAAATCCAAATTATTTTCTTGATTACTAGTGATATCTGTAAGAAAATCCTCTGCAACTTTTGCAAAATTAAGAGTCAAACTTCTTTCAAGTTACAAATATACCAGCTACCCAGTGGAGAAAAATTTGGTGTGAAAAACAGTGTTTGTCATAGGCAATCTCCTTAGACAAGTGGAAGTTTAAGGAACTAGTTGCCTGACTCTCATTTTCAAGGCATGTCTTTTTGATACCATACTCCAAAGGCCATGATCCCCATTTCACATAGTAGTAAGACTTCTGTCTCCATCTACTGGTTGAAAACCATTAGGTTAAATCATTCATAAAGGATATGACCATACAAACAGTCATGCTACTGATACATAATGTCTGCGACTCTTTCAACTGAACAGCATGTTGGATTTCACAGTATTTTTCCTTTAAGTTATTAAAGAAGCAAAACAGCTCAAGACTTTCTGTGTATCAGCATCTACCACACCAATCCCTTTTTTTGTTCCAACAGCTGTGCAATTAAGTTACTTAGCAATAAGGAGAGCATTATTAAAAATAAATCACAGTTTACTGATATTTGGCTTTAATGTCACAAATCACAAGTAGCTAATGCATAAGTTTGCCTGACTGATTTTCAAAAAACTCAAGATCGGGTGTTCAGTGTTTTAATAACCCTTGCTTATTGAATTTAAAGTGGTTAAATCATTTGGAACATAAAAAGCACCCCAGGACAAACAGGGTCTGAGGCAGCTGAAGGTACAGCAAAATTTATACACTGCACTAATCAACATCAACCAAGAACCAGGAATTCAGACAATCTGTCTGTTAATTACTTTTTTCAAGACTATTTATAAGCTCAAGGTTTAATGCTCACATTATGTCTATGTTTACCCTTTAGAAAGCTAAACCCAAGCAACTTTCCTTACAAACAGTTAGGAAGAGTTACTTTTTACTACTTTATTCTGTACTTTCTACAGAACAAAATTTAAATACTACCAAATCAGAATAATATCAAATATTCTGGCCACCCACAAGTTTGTACTATACATTTTAGGAACAAAAAAAAAAAGAAAATCCAAATTATTTTCTTGATTACTGGTGACATCTGTAAGAAAATCCACTGTAACTGTTGCAAAATTAAGAGTCAAACTTCTTTCAAGTTACAAATATACCAGCTACCCAGTGGAGAAAAATTTGGTGTGAAAAACAGTGTTTGTCATAGGCAATCTCCTTAGACAAGTGGAAGTTTAAGGAACTAGTTGCCTGACTCTCATTTTCAAGGCATGTCTTTTTGATACCATACTCCAAAGGCCATGATCCCCATTTCACATAGTAGTAAGACTTCTGTCTCCATCTACTGGTTGAAAACCTTTAGGTTAAATCATTCATAAAGGATACAACCATACAAACAGTCATACTACTGATACATAATGTCTGTGACTCTTTCAACTGAACAGCATGTTGGATTTCACAGTATTTTTCCTTTAAGTTATTAAAGAAGCAAAACAGCTCAAGACTTTCTGTGTATCAGCACCTACCACACCAATTTATTCAATATTCTTTGAAATAATTAGAAAACCACTGAGGTTTATATTAATTAATAAAGTAATTAAGTTATTGAAATGGTTCTACCACACCAATCCCTTTTTTTGTTCCAACAGCTGTGCAATTAAGTTACTTAGCAATAAGGAGAGCATTATTAAAAATAAATCACAGTTTACTGATATTTGGCTTTAATGTCACAAATCACAAGTAGCTAATGCATAAGTTTGCCTGACTGATTTTCAAAAAACTCAAGATCGGGTGTTCAGTGTTTTAATAACCCTTGCTTATTGAATTTAAAGTGGTTAAATCATTTGGAACATAAAAAGCACCCCAGGACAAACAGGAATTTTTTCTTGCTATATAAAATAAAATAAATCTAAAACCTCACTAGTGTCATTTATAGTCTGCTTTTCTGCAACTGTCATTGCAAAATGAGCAATGTTTTCATTATACTGTATACAAAGTAATCTGCAGACAAGTATACTCATCTGAGTACTTAATTACTTGAGCATCCGATGAGTAAGCACTCAGTATATATTATTTTAAACTCAACTCTGCACAGACTGTCACATGCTACCATACAACTTATCTACTTTTGTCTTTCAGGCTTTCTGGTGCTCCTCAATTCTTCTAGTTTGATTACATATGGTTTGCCAGTCACTTTGTAGAGTTGTTTGGATTTTGACTGTTTTGGTTTTAGTTTTAGGTTTTTTGTTTATTTGTTCTTTGTTTTTTAAACCATCAGGAATTCAATACATTTTTCTTGTTTAATTTTATAGTTTATCGCATTTTTAGTTGGTTCCTTTAGTACAGTTTCATCCAAATGATTAAGATTACACTAAACAATTACTCCGTCACAGCACAGAGAAAATTTCCAATACTGATTCCAGGTACTGCAATTTAAAGAAATGACTACACTATCATTGCAATAATGCATTAGATGGATATTTTAGTCTTAGCAAAATAATGAAACCACCTGCATAAACATTTATAAACTCTTAACAGTATTATTTCTATAAATGTTATTGTACTTCACAATACTAAAAAAAGCCTTTCATTTATATAGGTTGTTTGGCTAATAATGCACTGAAGAAGTGTTTTAGCACTGAGATTACAAGTTTGAGGAAGTATTGCGAGGCAAATGTTTTCTAATGGTATCATTTATTCAATATTAACACTTTGAAATAATCAGAAAACCACTGAGGTTTATATTAATAAAGTAATTAAGTTATTGAAATGGTGGTCTAGTTAGAAGTTTTGTTTATGCATCTTTTCGTTCTCCGTTTTTACATCACAGACACTTTTATGGAACCTCAACTGCAGGATTTTGTTTTACATGCAGATACTCAGTTGTGATCAAAGTCCTTCACTAATGAACTGTGGTATCATAAATTTCTAATATTATATGAAGCATTAGCAAGAATGATCAGATTAACACATAAGGGGATATTTTGCTGTTAGCAGACTAAGTAAAGATATCAGGGAAAACAAAACCTAAGCAAGTTTGCCTGAAGGGTGTAATTGCCAACAGAGCTGCACACTAAGAATTTTCAAAAGGCACAAAGTGATCTCTTGGAAATATTTTCCTACAGTTACACTCAAATTTGGCATTAAGTTTGGCTTCAGGAAGAAAAGCTACTTTGATCAAATCTGATAGCCAGTTCGAGACTTTTTTAAAAAGAGATACAGTTTACAGTATGCAGGACTTCACTGTGGAAAAATTGTTAGATATATACACTACGTGTTGATAAAAATATGACCCAAATGAAGAATTCTAAGATATGATGAGCTCAATTTGCCAAGATTAGATGGCATTCCATTTCTCAAACAATAAAAAGCCTCTACATGCACACAACACAGCACGAAACCATGCTAAGAATGAAACAAAACCAACCTTGCTGTTAGGCCCCGATGAGAGCTGTCTCAAAATAAATAAAAAAAAAAAAATGAGGTTTCAAATAAGTGACAACTAGAATTAGCTTTCATTAAGGTTTTATTTTTTTAATAATAGAATCTACTATAATTGAAGTCAATAAATGAACAAATGCTAAAGTGCTATATTTTATTATGCAGAGAATCAACTTCAAGTCTAATACTAAGATACCTGGCAATGAACTTTCAGAACTCCTCAAAATTTAGGTTAAGCATTACAGAAAAACCCGCCTGAAGTACACACAAAAAAATAGCTATGAACCTGACTCAAGTGTTACTTAAAATAATATTAAAAAGCTTAAGGCACTATAAACTAAGTACAGCAGGGCTTTTATTTTTTTAGTAACAGAATCAACTATAATTGAAGTCAGTAAATGAACATATGCTAAAGTGCTATATTTTATTATGCAGAGAATCAACTTCAAGTCTAATACTAAGATACCTGGCAATGAACTCCTCAAAATTTAGGTTAAGCATTACAGAAAAACCCGCCTGAAGTACACACAAAAATATAGCTATGAACCTGACTCAAGTGTTACTTAAAACAATGTAAAAAAAACTTAAGGCACTATAAACTAAGTACAGCAGGGGCTATAGTTTTTCCAAGATACCCTGTTTTAAATTGGGCTGAGCTGCTCCGCAGGCGCTCTGTGTAAAAAATGTTTTATATCTATTAAGATCACAACCTATTTCCACAGTGATTCAGAACTCCTCAAAATTTAGGTTAAGCATTACAGAAAAACCCGCCTGAAGTACACACAAAAAAATAGCTATGAACCTGACTCAAGTGTTACTTAAAACAATGTAAAAAAAACTTAAGGCACTATAAACTAAGTACAGCAGGGGCTATAGTTTTTCCAAGATACCCTGTTTTAAATTGGGCTGAGCTGCTCCGCAGGCGCTCTGTGTAAAAAATGTTTTATATCTATTAAGATCACAACCTATTTCCACAGTGATGCAAAGTTACATATGGAAATATACCTACCATATACAGCACTGGATCAATTTCATGTGTTGGTTACTAAACTAAGGGTTGGTTACCCCTTTGAAGTTATGTTGGTTAATTTAGCTATACATTTGTAATCAGTCTTTTTGCTGATTACACGTAGATGTGTGAATTTGGCTGACAGCACAGAATGAAAAAGAAAATCAGGATTTACTCACCAAGGAGGAATCCCTGTGACACCACATTCCATCCTATAAAGGAAGTGAAAGTGCTCTTCCCTTCGGTCTGATTTACAAGAAAGAAAGAAAGAGAAGGTTGTAATGTTGCTACACTATGCACTGTTATGGAAAGGAGAAAGGAGTACTTGCTCTGAGAGTTTGCTACAGAAAAAAAAACTGAATACACCTGCCTTTTTTTCGGTTGGTAGAGAGCCAGACATTTTGGTGGGCAGATGCACTAATTTCCCAATGAACTTAACCAGGCAATAGGAAGTGTATGTATTTAACAGCTATAGCTCATAGCAAAAAAAATAAATACATTAGGCTTGGGAATAAGTGTGCAACAGAGGTTCAAATTTATTTAATAACCTGATAATATGAACAAAGACATAATGTCTATAATAAGAATGCCAGGTTTGGTTTGTTTGGTTTTTTTAATTCCTGAGATGCTTGCTTTCTACAGTTTCTTTCATGAAGTAATGCTGCACTATACTTCCTAACTGAAGAGCACAAATCTATGATTTCACAGGAGGGCAATGGGAATTTTCAGAGGGATATATAATACAAGTGAAGTTAATGATATTATTGCTGACAGGACCTAAATTCACTTATTTCAGGGAGAAGAGTGCAGAGTAAAAGAAAAACACAGACCACGTATTTCTAATCTATATCTATTCCCACATGGAAAAAATGTAAATATCTTGTCATTCAATCTTCACATACAAGAAAATTCATAATTTACTGCTGTATTTTCCTAGGAAAACTAGAATTTGGAGAAAAAAAAGTCTCACTTTCCATAACAAGTCCTTACATGCTTTGTGGACAAGATTTAAAATGCCTTTAAGTCTTATTAAATTGGGAGTCCCATCAGTTCCACTAATGTACAATTTTAGCTTTCATGTGATGGTGTTTTTCAAATAATACAGAAGAGCTTTTCCATGTTCCCATAAGAGCTTTTATTGGTGTGCATCATATTTTCAAGAAAAACAAGAAGTTAGTTCTATGAAAGGGTTTCAAATCAAGCAGAGATAATCTGCACGTAATCTCTGTCTCTGAGGTATTAATAAAAAAATGTGTCTGAATTGTGAAAAAAAACCATACCTTTCAACCACAGGTAGAGTTAGTTTCAGGAACCTGTCACCACAGACTAATTCTGAAGAGAACTCCACCAGGTCCACTTCTCTCTCTACCTTAGATGTGCTGTTCCAGCAAAGTATGTGCTTTTATGTTGTCAAAGAATATTTTAATTAAATGATTCAAAGAGAATAATTTAGGAAACTTCTTTCCGTGACTTGGAAGAAAACACAGCAGAGCTGATTATTTTATATTTTTTTTGTAATTTCAGAAGATTTAATTTAATTTTGTGAAGTGTTTGTTAATTTTTTTAAGAGCACCCTAGCATTTACAGGGCATATCAGCAATGGAAGTTGCACCTGCCAAAACCACCACAATCTGATGATTCAGCCACTGCCAGTTTGACCACAGCAATTTAACCAGCAGTTTAGTTTACTTAATGACAGAATGTTGGATTCTTCTGACTAAAGTTTTCAAAGCTTTATTCTCTCTAAAATAGCTATGTTAACACCAATATACTCTGACAAACACACAGAACTAAATTTACTCAAAAGGAAAGATCAAGTGATGAGGAAAGATGACTTAGCAGCCAAATTGAAGCACTTACACTGTCTAGGCAGAAAAAGGAAACAAATTTATTTAAGATACATTACTCTTTGTTCCCTTTCAGAGCTCTGTGAGATGGAATATTAAAACATGTGGAAGATGCTTTTATAAAGCACTCCCCCTACATTTAAGCACTGCACACAATACCATAGACAGGAATTAGCCCATCCTACATCAAATGTGTTTTTACTGTTTTAAAGAAATCATGGGTAAAACAACCTTTTTCGGTACTGAAAAGAGCAGAAGGAGTTATGAGGAAATAAATGAACTGAAGCATAAACCAGAAGGGAGACAGAGCACTCACTGCTCAATCACTTCACTGAGATGTTGAGAAAAAAGTCAAGATGAAGGGAGGAGCACTTTTATTTACTACACAGAATGGAATATGATGTGGCAGGTTCAAAGAACAACTAGCCATGTCTCTCAACATGACATTTGTGAGGAAATACAAGCTAAAGGAAACAGCCACCTGCTTTGTAAATACCTTTTGCAATTACAGATGTGTTTTACCTATTGAGCTCTATTTTGTCACAAATACATAAAAATATATTTCACATTATAAAATAAAATCCCAAGGTTTTTTTGCCATATCAAATCAGCATACCTAGAAAAACAATTAAAAAAAAAAAACAACCCAAAAGCAAAGTGCAGGATCTGAATATTTGGAAATAAGAATCATTGCATCTGAAAAAGTTCCATTACATACTATAAACAAGAATTGTGAACCTTTCAATAAAAAGCCACCAGCTTTAAAACATTAATGAATGAGACAAAGTCTCAAGCAATGAACGTGTAAAGTGTTTCTAGGGAAATAAATTCCATAAACATTTGAGGGAACTGTGACAGAAGAAATTGCTTCAGGAGTTGTTCAAAAAACAAAGCCTTCTTCACTGAAGATAACCTCAGTTTCACTGTCTCTTACCTGATAACACTTTAAAGTTAACATAGTCAAGTAAAGCAGATTCAACTGAATTCTATACTACCTCACACACTAAAACTACTGTCAAGCAAGCAGACTAAGTTTTAACATTGCAAGTGTGTGTACATATATACAGGCATAAACACGCCAGTTTAAGTATATATGGTATTGTCAACGTTGCTTTCTTCAGTATCTAGAACAACACCCAAAATCAGCAACTGGTCTTTCAAATTTTTAATTGTACTTTCAGAAGAGCAGAAAAATTGTTTGTCAAAAGCAAAGCTGAGTTTATAAACAAGGAAAAACACTTTAAACGGAAAAAAGTAGTACGATCCAAATGATAGGGTAAAATCCCTTACATTTACATGAATTTTAGTATTTTAGCAATAGCTTCCATACAGATATTTAAAATACGCACATAATTTGACTTGTCATCAGGTTAAAACTGAATAGCTGAATATTTTTTTTACACAGCTAGGAAAACTTCCTTAACATAACAAAAATCTGAGATTTAGCTCAAAATCATCAGCAATAAGATGTTACAGACTGCCACCTAGTGCCTATACTAAGCATCAAAGCACAAACATTTCAACTTAACAATACCCTTTAAAATATTTTATCTTATGCAACTAGACTAGCATTTGCTCTAATCAGAAATATATTCTAAACTATGCACCTAGAAGCACTTCACAAATAAAAGACTATTAATAATGCAAATGCAAGCAACTAAAAAAAAATAATTAAAAAAACCAGTCAGCTACCATTAATCAACTTCATTTTGGGGAAATCCAGAATCAAAACTCTGAAGTCCTTATTTATTCAAGGAAAAATTACAACATCAATACAAATACTCCTTTTCTTTTAGGCTACGCTTAAGGCTTACATAATCAGCTTTACCATGAAGTAGCAACTTTTATGAAGGAAATTAATTCCATCCGATTTTTGATGACTATGCCAGAAAGGCAAACCAAAAATCCTATGAATTAGCAACTTCTTAGTATTGATCTGAACAAAAAAGCAAGTGGTTAAGATCTAAAATTTTTTAATAATATTCTGATTAATAAGTCCCATCCAATTAGTCTCTAAGATTCTTTGAGAGAAATAAAGCCACACATTTTATACAAGGATCCTGGGGGTTTACCATTGTGGGATTACCATGGAAATAAGAAATACCTTGTTGTAAAAAAAATAATAATCAACCTTTTCTTTTAATATCAAAAGACATGAGCCAAGTCATTATCTCAAGTTCCAAGAAATCTTAAAACACCGTTCAAATAGATGTTAGTTAAAAGAACAAAACTATAGGGTAATGTTACATCCCCATCCTTTACTAACCTCTTTTTAAAAGTACATTTTGCTTTCATAAAGTACATCACTGTTACCTTAACTTTTATGTCTGAAGGAAACACCACCATCAGTTAGTGACTGGTGCAAAGCTTAAAGGTCCCCCCGACACCTTTGGCTTCAGCCAGTTTAGACCAAAACATCTATTTGACAGTGGAAGAAATCACTAGCAGTTCAAAAGGCACTGAAAGGCCACAAAATTGAGCGCATTATTTAAGGGTATCAAGACCTTTCTCTTAAATCAACTTACCGTAAGCCATAGCAAGGCAACGTGATGAACCGGAACATTGCCAGAAACACTCTCAAAGGAAGCAGGGTGAACACATACAGAAAAGCATCCAGGCACAAAAAGATTCCAAAAAACATCAACTAAATTACAAAAATAAAACAGAAGTATATTAGTAGTTTGTAAAAGTTACAAAAAGTTCATAGAGAATTATCTTATTTTATGAAAAATACATTTACGTAAGACTAATTAACCAAATAAGAATAACACTCTCACTTGTCCAATCAGCTGAACTGTAAGAAAAATAACATGCTGTGCACTTTGAAGACTATTCAGCAAAAATTCTGCATCACAAAGTCCAAGCACCAAAGGCTTTTGCAGACTTCCATGGATCACCGAACTCAGACTTTATTGAACAGATGAATTGCACTTGGATATAACTGTAACTCATTTTCCAATGGTGACTTTCCTCTAAGGTTACAAAAAATGTTTTTAACCTTGGGAAAAAAAAAAAAAAACAACTGTAGAGCTGTATGTACATGTGCACAGCCATTTTCTGCTATATCCTTTTTAATATGCTCTTTTTCTTTTTTCAAAAAAATTGTTTCTTTTTTACTTTATTAGTTGTCTGTTGCACAGCTAATTACAGCTGCGACAGTTCTCCTTCAGAGAATATCTACCTTTTTCATACAAAAAATAATATAAAAAATGAAGAAGTAAATTTCCAGTCACCCTCAGTTTAAATACTTTGTGCCTAATTTACAGAAATGGTTAAAGCCATTTCATTATAGTCACAAGCCAAGCAACTCTGTGATAATTAAACTAGATGTAAAGTCTGCAGTTAGAAAGCTCTCATATACCAGACTCTCCCCACATGAAATTCCTTCTTTAACTGTTCTTTGAATGTATCTAAGATTTACCTGAATGGGACTCTAAGCATATGCTTTTATGCTTCAGTCAGATCAGAAGCTAGTGATTTTTCCTGCAAGGAAAAATCTCATAAAAAGGCAAGCTTAACTGGCTACACAATTAATACTAGTGACATCTAAACAGGCCCAGATATCCACGACAGATATGCATTTACATGTGAAAGTTTTATGTATTGCTAATGGGAAACGAAGACACTGGCTTGGGAGGAGAAAAAGTAAACAAAAGCACAAGTAAATTACTTTTATCTCCCGCAATCTCTTTGCCTTCCAAAATCCCTTCTTTGCCAGCCTGTGCAACAGGCAGTTCAACATCCACTGAGCTAATATCACTGATATGTACCTCCCTCTCACTCCTCACGCATCCTCACAACTCTGAAAGCAATCCCACTGAGTACACTCCAGTGTATCTATCTGCAAGCCACATAAGATGACTGGATCAGGTGTAAGAGCCCTGCTATCATCTCTGAGCTGTTGCTTTCCCTTACGCACTATTTTTCATTCAAAATTATCAGGAGCGGTGGGTACAAATAATGGATGAAATTACGCATTGCATTTTAACATGCCATTAAGCTACCTATTTCTCTGCTGGTTTTTAAACCAGGTGCTGAAGATCCAGGCACTGAAAATGACTGGAGCTGAAAAGGCATCTTCTTTGTTTGTGTTTTTTTAAAATTCTTAACCCAAGCGAAATAGAAAGATAGGCTGTCATTTTGCCCCTGTATTCTTTGAGGGCATCTTTATAATCTAGAAAACTGCTCTGCAACATTTTGACTCAGACTTTTTCTCTACCTGACTGTAATCATGGTTTTCACATTTTATAAGCTCATGCTAAAGATTTGCAATTACTGTTTAATGTCCTCATTTTCCTAATTTTTTACTACATTGCACTTGACGACTTACTTGCTCCCATTGAAACATGATCAGCACTGAACCTTCCACTCATTTCTGTAAACATTATCTTTGCTGCTACACTCCAGATACTGAGGAGCTAACAGAAAAGCTTATAGAGCTTTTCCATCATCATCACTCTATTTTAGCAAAAGAGCCCCAAGTTTAATTTAGAGATCAATTGACAAGCGTTCCCTTAAGATGGCAAGAACAGAGACCACCTTAGTATAAATGACAGAGAGGTTCCACTAAAACTGCAGAAAAACCTTGAGAGGGAGTAGCATTTATATTACAAATTATCTAGCTTCTCTAAATAAAAAGGGATATTCAGAACAACAAAAATACTACCCTTTTAACATCACACCTTGCTCTAAAATTATGTACCTTTAATAAGTTCACGCTAAAGATCTCCTGAGATTACACTTTGATATTATTCCAGTTTATTCTCACTCTACCTGATTATGATTTTAATTCCTAGTCTGTAATTATACCATTAGCTAGTAATGAATACAAGCTGTTAAGAAAATTCTTCTCTCCCTTTCCTAGTGTCTCACATGCTTTATTTCAATTAAGCAGACTTCTGAATCACAGTCAAGTGATTCCTGCAATAGGTAATGATCTGTACAATGTTTAGTTTCCTTTCTACATGCTCTTCATTGTGCTTTTTCAATTTTTTCAACAAGTATGACTGGATGTGATCTAGCTAGTTTGTATACTAACCTGGACTAAGTCTATACAGAGAATTAATAAATTTATTTCATAGTCTCTCTGTAAAAAGGTAACTATCACTTTTTAAATCTATCTACTTATTACTCAGTTTCATATTCTTTCATATTCAAAGTACAGACTGAAGTTTGATTTACCATCGAAAAAAATATCAATTTCACCGCTTACTGCATCAACCTCATTTATATTAAGACTGTTGGCCTTCACTTATTCTTACATGCTGAAAGTTTTATTGGAAATCTATGATGATCCTTAAGAATAATTTCTGTGGCATGTAACAGTCTACATAGTTACAATGGAGATGATGCAGAACTGTTACATTGTTCAACTGAAACTCTACCATAACTGCAATATTCTACCGTAAACTGCAATGGGTAAAGAGTGACACCATCCCTGAAGATGTTCAAAGCCCAACTGGATCTGCTCCTAAGCAACCTGTTGTACGTAGGTGACAGCTTTAAGCAACAGCTTGGACTATATCATCTCCAGAGGTCCACCCAATCACATCCATATGGTAATTTTCTGCAGTAACTGAGATTTTATTTTTGTAAAACCAGGTCTCATCATGGTCGAAGGATGAATTCAATGATACTCAAGGGGGAACTTGATTGCTGCTGACAAAGGGAATCCTACTCTCCCTCTCTCCTCCACTGCTCTTCCATCCTTCTATCCCTACTCCAAGCTCCCCTTCTGCCCTAGTAGTGTCGGTTCTGGAATCTCAAGAACATTGGCTGAGCAATTCAGCTCACTATCCTAGCAAAGAACAAATAGATCAAGGAAAATGAAACATTTGCTGCCAAATTGAGTTGATTTAACTCTCTGAACAGTCCAATGAGCACCACAGCTCATGCAAAACCTGCAGCGTGCATAAGGCATGAGACTGGAGTGGGAGGAACACTGAAAAAAGACTCGTCCTTCAACATAGTTAGAGTCAACTTGATTTAGCCCTAACATGTAACTTCATCCCCAGAAGTTTTGAGATTTTTAGCAATGTTATTTCTAATGTTATTGTTACACTGTAGCCTAGCCAAACCTTACTACCAATGTCACCTTACTCTTCATCCTCATCGTGCTACATCCCAAATCCAACATCCTCTCCTACAGGATTTCAAAGTGGTTAAACCAGAATAAAACTCTCTTCTGGATTACAGCACAGGAATTCGCTCACTGCAGGACCAGCATTATATCTAAGCTGACATAGAATGGCTTGGGTTGGAAAGGACCTGAAACATCATGGAGTTCCAACGCCCCTGCCATGGGCAGGGACACCTCCCACTAGAGCAGTTTAAACATAAAGGAGGTGGCAGAACAGCTCAGGAAGGACCATGGTACTGGGATAGACAGGGAAGATGTGATGAACAGTGGCAAGAAGCACAATGGAAGGCTATGAAAATTAAGACAAAAACTTAAACATAAAAGAGGTGGCAGAACAGCTCAGGAAGGGCCATGGTACTGGGGTAGAGAGGGAAGATGTAGTAAACAGTGGCAAGAAGCAAAATGGAAGGCTATGAAAATTAAGACAAAAACCTTAGTCAGAAACTCATCCATCACTGTATTTTTAAAGGACTGAAAGCTTCCCACCCTCAAAACACTTTAGGCTGGAAAAATCTTTAGAACTCTTTTTTTTTTTTTTTTTAACATTTTGCAGTAAGAGGTATTCTCTTGCTTGACTATTCCATTAAGGATCAGTGACATCTTTCTATTTGAATTAATCTGTCATCATCTGGACTTGAAAGTTAGTCATGTCCATCTCTGCTAACACCGTCAACGAGTGGCCATGAGTTGCCAGCAGCAACAAGCAAACATAGGCAAAAAAACCTAACCCACAAACATTTAAGTTACCGACACTGAAAATCAATCATTATAGATGTTTAAAGCTTTTTTAGTAGTAAAAGTGTTTGAAGAATAAGCATTTCTTTAAATAATTTAACGCAACAGATTTCATCTCCTAATTAAAACAAGTCTTAAAAGTATACTTCACCTTTTCCAGTTCTTTTGGTATCCGCATGCACGTGTATACTCTCTCTCTCCTCTCTGTGTATTTTGCTTCATTGTGTTCAAGGAAGTAACCTCTTGTTAGCTCAGCGCTGATGAATCTCAGCAACGAAAGATCTACATGGAGGAACACAAAAGCAGAAGGCACTTCAGGCATGACCTCCAAAGAGTGAGAAGACTGCTACGCTTTTATTACTTCATCCATGCTTCTTTTACAGGACATCTAACCCAGAAGGCTTCTGCTGATCGCAACCAGAACGGCAAATAACTTGGTATGGAAGGAGCTATATGAGAAGCGAGTCCTGTGTTCTCCCATTCCCCTGTTGCCTCCCAACAAACAAAACAAGATACTGTTCCCAGCCAATCCTTTTCACCAGACAACCCACTTCTCCAAAACATTACTCTAAGCAGCTACACTGAATGCAATATTCTCAGTGGATCTAAATTTTAACGTACCGATAGTACTCCTAAATTTACTAACCTCTATTTTAGACTTTTTGAAAGCTATTTCCTCTCTCAGCAGCACCAGCAACTTGCTCTTTATTTTAGAGAACAACTTTCTGTAAGATCAAAACGTTCATGGATATGTGATCCCAAGTGATTCAGCTCACAAACAGTACAAGCATGCTGATCATTTGATGATCAGACTGAAGTCTTTCAAGACCAAAAAGCCATCAAGCACGTACAGCTCTTCTGCATTTTAATAGCTCTAGGTAAATCGGGCAAAACCTGACTGACCTATCTTTAGTCAACTCATACAGCTTCTAAAAAAAGACTTTATGAAGAGTAGTCTTGCAAACGAAAATAAGATATGAAATTATAGTTATGCAAATTCAGGCTGTCAGCACAAGGAGCTCGGACTTCAGCTTCAACGCTTACTGACAAGGTCTGACATTACCACCTCCTGGTAACACTCAGAAGTGACAGAATACTACAATGAAGTTCAACATTTCTGGTTATTACTGGCATTTTAAAATAGAAACTCTCAGTGCTCACACAACAATCAAAAGATGGCAATCACTTATCTAGACAAACAGGTGAAAAGCTACAGTGCATGAACATGCTCACAAATAGTAAATTCAGATTTTAGCCAGTGTCTTAGTAACTACCGGGGGAGGATGGACCTTGCAAAGTACAACGTTCACATATTTGGGGGAGGAGGATGCTGTGCAACACACCTTTAGTAAAATGGCCTAGCTAACAGCTGTTAGGAGAGCAATGCAAGTATAGATGCTACATGTGAAGAGTTCACCCAAAACTGTCTGAGATACCGGCTTCTCAATATTCATCACACTGAAGACAATGACAACTATTAGCTGGAAAAGTAGCCAATAAACTACAAAGAGTTTTAAAGCAAAGAAGGAATAAGCTCAAATACAAGTAAAAAAGAAGCAGAAGAGGCAGGGCGGGCTTATAACCCACACTGCCTTGTGGGGCGGGGAGGGAAGCATGTATATTGAGTGTGATTAGAACTTGTCAGGATTACAAACAGGCATTTTGAAGTTTGCCGGCGTATATTCACATTCTGTGTTTGTCTACCATTGTGATTTATTACGTTGCCGATACAGATCATAACCATATAATTCACTGACTGCTGGTTAATAAATCATTTAAATTATGGTTTGCTTTAAACGACTATGAGCTTGTTTGGATAGTGATTTTGATTATTTATATATTACTGACCCACTTCTAGTAAGTAGGCCAAAGCCGCTATAAGCCTTAAAGGCATTTATTTTAAAACAAACAAAAACATTAGTAGTTTAATGAGTAGTGAAAAACCAATATTGACATGTAAAGTTTCAATCAAAGTTCATTCCAGTGAAATAAGGCAGAAGTTCATATCACTAAATCATTTGTTCAGATCTCTTGCATACTTGTTTTCTGGAGTCCTTCTTTGTAACACTATGACTTATAACTGGCTTTGTTTTTCCCCAATTCTTCCTTGCTTGAAAAGTTAAAAGTAAAAAGAGATAACCTTGGGTATAAACATACACATCAGCTACTCTGTTAACTGCCCAGGTGTATTTTCTTCCACCTCAGACAACCAACCTTCTGCAACCTGAAGATAATGCAGCTCTAACAACTGAAATTTCCTGCAAAGGAAATATATGCATATGGGCAACCACCACAGAGTAACTGATGGGTGCATTCAAATTTAAGATATTCTATGACTCTAACTAATGAGCTATTTGCTCCCACTCCTTACCTCGCACAAACTGTTTCACGGGCTTACTGTTGAAAAACAAATGATAAGTTTCCTTCACCTGGCTAGACTTCCATGCCCCAGCTACTGAGAGATAATCACTTCTCATGACTGAGGCTGACAAACACAGAAGCTCCAGACTGTGACTGCAAAACAACCTCTGCAGTGACAGGGGATGTACTGAAGCACACAGTCGCTCAACCACCTCCTTCCTGAGCACTTTCTGCCACCCAGCATCAGCCCTAGTTCTGTGCCAGCTGTGAAACAGATCAGTGGCTGGCCCTGCAGGAAAAACACAGTAAGCAAAATAACAGGATGAGACACCAAGGCAGGACAGAGTAACAAATCATCTAAAAAAAAGGCTTAATACTGCTATCAAAGCACCATATTCTTTGAAAAATAAGTAAACACTCTAATTCCTACTTCAAATTTCTTTCCTCGTTCGAATTTCCCTCCTTTACAGGCCACAGTCTAAAACTTTCTGACTAAGTTTAAAGTGTTCAGATAGCATACTCTTAATGCTGAAAGTATTCTCATTTATATCCCCACCTCAGGACAGAGAAGCACAAGCATCTTCAAAACATTAAAAGCCACTAATTCCTTCAAGGCAAACAGATAATGATTTACCTAAGTTATACTTCAGTGCATAGCCACACAAAGGATAACCATTAACCAGAAATGGAGAGGAAAATTTGTGGAAATGTGAAAAGCACTGCGCCTCAGTAACTTTCTATTGTTATATAACCGGAACTTTAATCCTAAACGCAACAATTCCAGGCACTCACTTCACTCCCATCAATCCTAAATACACACTTCTTCTGTAAACACTCAAATACATCAATCAAAACAGCACTTTTTTTTTTTTTTAATATTTCCTTCTCCTCCAAACAACTCTGTACAGCACTAGTCCTGCTTTACCATCTTGGAAAAAAAAACTACTTCTATGCACTATATAAAATATCGTTACCCTTAGATGAGTTAGAATTTTTAGATGCTCTATCAAGAAGCCTTTTCTTCTAGTGTTTTCTTGTCCTGAAGAGTCAGAAAGCGTCAATGATTTTTAACTGTTTTAATTTGAAATAAATTATTGGAAGATAGATAGGAATTACCCCCCCCCCCCCCCCCCCAAAAAAAAAACCCAACACATTTTCCTTACTTTTTACAAAGTTATTTGTTCAGCTGTCTTTCAGGCACATCAGTATGTATCTTAACCATTCTTTTTTTTTGCCACAAAGCAACTCATAATACTACAATTAAACCAATTCCTTTCAAGTACAGAAATTACATCACTTTCCTCAATACCACAGAACTGCAGTCAGTGATGCTGCATGTCCTAATGACACAACATGTCAGAAATGGACACAGCACCTGTCCAGCTTAGAAGGAAAGCACTCAACTGTCAGCAGGCTATTTAAGTTAAATCCTAATTCCTATTTTTTTCTTTTTTTTTTGTATTTGATAAGACCTGCAGTATCACTTTCAAGCCAACACTGAGGCAGAAAGCCTGCAGATTTGAACACCACTTTGAGCACCTTCCAGATTTTCAGCAAGCCACTCAATTAAGAATATGGTGTTAATGAAGTTATTTATGATCTTACCAACACTAAATCAACTCTGCCACACTGAGTGACAATGTTTAAGAAAAAGGCAGGGTTACTTTCAAAAACTACTCTGTAGATAACTGAAATAGCCAGTTCAAGTGTAAGTGCTGACCAATATCAAAGGCCATGACATTTTCTCTTATTTTTCCCTATGAAATCCTCCGTTAGTAACTACATTTACTTTAAAAGACTTCTAATAATCTGCGTACAACTTTGAGGCTCTAACAGGAGTAGATCCAAACTCCTGGGCTCATAGCTATGTGTATGTAAAGCATTCAGCTTGGAGAAAAGAAGACTGAGAGGGGATCTCATCAATGCTCATAAATGTCTAAAGGGCAGGTGTCAAGAGGATGGGGCCAGACTCAGAGCTGCCCAGCAACAGGACAAGGGGCGACAGACACAAACTGGGACACAGGACATTCTGTCTGACCATAAGGAAAAACTTCTATACTTTGAGGGTGGCAGGGCGCTGGAACAGGCTGCCCAGAGAGGTGGTGGAGTCTCCTTCTCTGGAGATATTCAAAGCCCACCTGGATGCGTTCCTGTCCAACCTGCTCTGGGTGGACCTGCTTTGGCAGGGGGGCTTGAGTAGGTGATCTCCAAAGGTCCCTTCCAACCCCTGCCACCCTGTGGCTCTGTCAACAAGAACCGTTGGGGCGATGAAGCATTTCTTGTCCCCCAGCAGGAAGGCGAAGCGGGCCAGATGGTGGCACCGGGCCCGGCCCGAACCCCCCTGCTCCCCTCAGACCCCGCCGTGCGCAGGGGCTGGCTGCGGGCACTCCTCGGCAGCCACCGAGCCGAGCACCCCGGGCTTCAGCGTACGGCACTTCCATGGGTGATGCCCGTGTTGGTTAAGACCCCACCTTGACCGTTTACCCGTTAAAGGCGGCGTGACAGGGACCCCACCGCCCCCGTTCCCCTTCCCCACCACGCTCCCCTGGACGGCACCGAGGCAACCGGCCACACTGAGGGGCTTCATTTCCCTGACACGGCCGAGCTCGCCCGAACTACACCTCAGGGCAGGGGGAGAGGAGGCAGCGCAGCCGGCGAGAAGCTCCCCGCCCGCCCGCCCGCCCTTCGCTACCGGAGCGGCCGAACGCCGCCGCCGCTCCCCGGGCCCGCCAGGTCCCGGCGCACTTTTTGAAGTCGCTCGCCCAAAGTTTGCACGGGCGGACGGGCGGCCCCCTCAGCCCCGCTTCGGACACCCACACCGGCCCCGGCCCCTCAAGGCGGGCCGGCCCG